GTCTTAATTATAAGTGGTTAATGAGTTATATCACTATATGCCTATTTTTTTAAATAAGAGGGGAGAACACTTCAATTTAGTGTTAGTGTACCCTTTCAACCAAAATTTTTGTGTTACGACATGTCACAACTTACAATTTAGTAAAAATATGTTGTCAATATCTTATACCGTTTTTGAAAAGAATTGAAAATAAGCCAAAATCAAAATTTAAAATATGACCTTGACCTCTGACCTTGACCTTATTTTCTTCTTTTTTTTTGGACCAAGGACCTCAAATAAAAAGATCCTAGGTCTCTATCACTTATGGTTTACAAGATAGAAATGCAAATCACTTATATCAAATGCATAAGGGGAAATAACTCTCATATGGAGTGTTTGTATGGCTTCGGTCAAAATTGGACAAATCATGCGAAGGATAAAACGAGCAATTTTATAAAATTAATTTGTCGCTTTTTTATACGGTTACAGAGGAGATGCAGTCACAAGGAAAACAGTGTTCGGGGAGATAACTCCTACAAAGAAAAGTATTCGGTACGCAGGGTGAATTTCAAAGGCGCATAAACTGTTCGATATCATATACCAAACATCTAAGCGACATCTTGCAAAACAAAATTTATACGCAAGAAATGAAAGTGGCGGAAGAAGAAAAAAAAAATAATGATCAGAACAAATACAATAGGTCTTTCCACCGAAAAGTGTAAAGACCTAAAAATAATCAGAACAAAAGCAATAGGTCTTTCCACGGAAAAGTGGAAAGACCCAATTAATTAAGTATTTGAATTTTAAACGGTCGTGAATAAAAATACTTGTGTGTTTTCTATTCACAAAGATTTTAAATCCTTGCAGCTCACAAAAAAACGTAATAATAATTTATAATAATCATAACAAAATTTAATTACTATCATAATGTTAATTATTTATACTATTTTAGTCTTTGCTTTTATTTTGTATAGTAATATATTCATATATAAATTTTCACTTCTTCGTACTATGAACATCAAAATTATTTATTTTGTAAAAACATTTCCTTTCTCTATTTGAACTGTACATGTATACCTAACAACAAAATTATTTTCATTTACCTGCGTTTAAAGTAATTGCAAATGGCTGATATTTTTGTTCAAGTATATTGTTTTTCTTAAATTGTTTAACATTTCACAGCGGTATAACATGTTACTTTTATTCTTCTTCCCTTAGTTTATTTATTTTGTATTAACATTGTATCATAGATCAAATTTATTTGTTCAGTGTATGTTCGCTGGTGTGAATATGTCTTTTGATTGAGTTAAGCCATTTCAATTGATATTTTATAGTGTTTTTTTCTATGTTGAGAGGTTACACTATTGTTTCAGATAAGGGTGAAGGTTTGGTACCGTTAAAACGTTTAAACCCGCTGGAATTGTTTGCACCGGTCCTAAGTCAGGAATCTGATGTTCAGTAGTTGTCGTTTGTTGATGTGGTTCATAAGTGTTTCTCGTTTCTCGTTTTTTTATATAGATTAGACCGTTGGTTTTCCCGTTTGAATGGTTTTACACTAGTAATTTTTGGGGCCCTTTATAGCTTACTGTTCGGTGTATCATAGATCAAATTTATTTGTTCAGTGTATGTTCACTGGTGTTAATATGTCTTTTGATTGAGTTAAGCCATTTCAATTGATATTTTATAGTGTTTTTTTCTATGTTGTGAGGTTACACTATTGTTTCAGATAAGGGTGAAGGTTTGGTACCGTTAAAACGTTTAAACCCGCTGGAATTGTTTGCACCGGTCCTAAGTCAGGAATCTGATGTTCAGTAGTTGTCGTTTGTTGATGTGGTTCATAAGTGTTTCTCGTTTCTCGTTTTTTTATATATATTAGACCGTTGGTTTTCCCGTTTGAATGGTTTTACACTAGTAATTTTTGGGGCCCTTTATAGCTTACTGTTCGGTGTGAGCCAAGGCTCCGTGTTGAAGACCGTACTTTGACCTATAATGGTTTACTTTTATAAATTTTGACTTGGATGGAGAGTTGTCTCATTGGCACTCATACCACATCTTCTTATATCTATATATAGTGGAATGTTAGAATTTAAAAATAGATTCATTTGATAAATAAAATGCCCATCCGTAAATACTTGACGGTTGTGTTTATTGATATTATATATACTCAAAATTGTCGGAAAAAATTACTAACAGGAACGTATAATATTATCAAATTTCAATTCTAATTTTGTTTGTTTGTTTTAATTGTTTAACCTTATAGCATCTACATATTTGTAATATGGTACGGTTTTGAAAATTGTATTCACTGTGTTGACCAACTATCATACACGTCTTGATTCATTCACATTTAAGATCACATTTCAAACGCAAACTATCGGTTTGCGTTCTCAAAAATTCCGAATAAAATGTCAATGAATCCGGAGTCAAAACACTTGAGGTAGGTAGTTTGACATTCGAATTCAACTATTAGATTAATATATGTGATGACGCAAATGCGTATTCTTTTCCTGAGTATCAGTGCGTATGCTTTCTATTTACTATTTCGTGCGCTAAAATACCGCGTGCATGCAATAATATTAATTTCACTCGTGAAAGCGCATTTACGTATTTCTTTTCTAAATTCAGGACACGGCAGTAAGAGCTTGACATGTAACTTTCAAGCACGGTCATCATTACTAACGGTATTCTGACCTCTAGCTGTTTCTCTTTTGTTTCTTTTTTGAGTCACTGTCCTATTATAAACTTTGACCTTTTCGAAAAGCTAAGGATTGTATACCCAAGGAATAGCTTCTTTAACTTTGTAATTTATTTGGCCTTTTAACTTTTTTCATTCGAGCGTCACTGATGCTTTCTTGTAGACTTAACTTGCACACTTGCGTCTGGCGTACATCATTTTAATTCTGGTATCTTTTTATATCTACATACCTTTTTATATAAATTGGTTATCTTAAGAGTATGTACAGGTATGCATAAAACTTCTGAATTAAGATATTCTTCGCCAAGTTTCCCTGTAGAATATTTGAATTGATTTAGGTAAAATCAGGAAATCCTTAAAATTTGAGATGTTTTATGAAACCAAAATAAGTCTCTTTATAAGAGGTTCAAATCAATTGCATGCCACAGGTTTCACCGCACATGGAAATTGGACTTTAAATTTATCTATACAACATCTACCATGTGTCCAGACAGCTTCAATAACGAGTTGAGAATATGAAGGCATCCATGCAGGAAACAAAATATAAGGATGTGATAGATAAAATAAATGCACCAAGAATTCCAGATTATAAAGCAAACTGAGCTCATAAATTTATATTGCGATTGGTTTGTGCAATTTGCATAAGTCATCCGATTTGTAGAAATTGGGATTTGCAAAAGGGTTATCATCGGAAAAATTATGTACATTCCCAAGTAATAAATAAAATAGTCGAGCTTTAAAATGTATATTCAAATAGTAGCTGTAAATACACACTTTCAACTGGCTTCTTCTATTCACAGTCAATTATTTCAATTCAAAAGCAAACACAAATTCAGCAACAATCTTTTGGTGACCCGGCAGTCAGCGGTCTTAGGTTCACGTATTGCTTTTCTTTTTTAAAGAAAGCAACTTGTTTTAAAGAAAACAACTTGTTTTTTTTTTATATTAGACATAGTACCTGATCAAGATCATTCCAGAAAAAAAAACTGTGTTGTGTCTATCAAGTTTTGTGTCGGTACAAATTAAATGGTTGATTGAATGTTTCCTTTCAAAACTCTGACTTCATGGTTATTCAAGAACTGTCTAATGTGCAGATCAAGTTAGGTCAATCTCTATCATTTAGTTTTTACTGTAGCGTTTTGCTCTATTGTCAGTTTCATGATCTGCCCAGTAGTATATACTAGTAAGTTGATGCTTTACTGCATATTCTTTTCTTCTTCATAATACTAAGGCTTATTGCATTTATATATTTGTGTGTATACGCTTCTATAATTGTTTGTGAATGCTCGTTTTGATTTTTGATTTATGCCCCTAATGAATGATTTATATAATTAGCACGTGTTACGAACAACATATTTGGTATCATTATAAGTCGATATAATGACTTGTGTTTCTCTCCTTGGTATCACCCTACAGGAATATGTTACTTTGATGTTGATTTTGTTTACTTGAAACTTCAAATTACAGTTTTTTAACTGATAAATTAAGCTTAGCATTATTCGCATAGTTGTTCATAAACGGAGATTGTTCTTAACTTTAGGCCTGGTTTGGTTTTGTATGCGTCATATGCTTAATGGGTTTTGTCTTTCAAACATTTGGCATATATTTTACCTGATGAAGGTTATTCCGAAAACACTTTTATCAAACTAAGTATTGCGAAATACTTGTTTTTAAAGCATCTATTACTAGGTCGACACTTCACTATTGGCGCTCTGCCCTCTTGTGAATCATGCACATGGATTTAATACTGTTTACTTGATTCTAATACTATAAATGCGTCCTAAACTATATAAAGATTATGTTATTCAGTAAAATAAAGCTTTATCCTGTTTATGTAGTTGATTTTCCACGGGTTTTACTTTCCTGTAAAGACCGGTCCTCTTTTGCCTGCTCCAAAATGATTAGAAGTGCTGGTATCGAACGTACCCGACAAAGTTGTTTTTTCCTAGATTTAAAAATAAGATGTGGTATGATTGCCAATGAGACAACTCTCCAAAAGAGACCAAATGACACAGAAATTAACAACTATAGGTCACCGTACGGCCTTCGACAATGAGTAAAACCCATTCGTGTAACTGTCGTCGGAAGAAAAAAGACATGTTATGGTTTTGTGTGCTCTCCTAAGATTTATGTTTATTTTGATATCCAAACATGCTTTGTGCACATCTAATATAGTATTGGTCAATATTTATTACTATAGTCTTCGGAAACTTTCTAACAATTAGTCATGAAAGAAGATCTTGAACAAAAACATGTTTTATTTAAAGGTACTCCATGTAATGTATCATGATAATTATTTTATTTTAAATAAAATTCGTTCTTTCAGAAAAATAACTGTATGCGAATCAAAATTCTAGGGGATTGTTATTATTGTGTAAGTGGTTTACCAGAAGAAAGACCAGATCATGCCAAATGTGTTGTAGAGATGGGACTTGACATGATAGAGGCTATACAGTAAGTATGATTGTGGTAGTATATATACTATGGTTTTTGAGACTATATTTGATAGAAATATTTCAAATTAATATGGAACTTAAAGACCAGATTATGACATGTTGTAATTGATTTTGGCTTACATAGAAAATATGAGGTTTAAGAGGACTTACGTCATAGCGTTTGGAATTATATATGATAGAAATATACAGTAAATGTGGCTCTTATCATGACCCAGTCCAACCCAATAGAAATACCATAAGTTGTGTACTCCAGGAGTCCTTAATCTTTGATCCATGACACTTAGAAATATTTGTAATGATATAAAAAATTGGAACTCTATCAATGAGTTTTCTACGTTTATATAAACGAGCACATTGTTAAATATATTTTTTTGATGCCTCGGTAGCCGAGTTCAACTACTGTATCAATAGCTTATCAGGGTGTTAGTTCGATCCCAACACGTGGCAGCAGGTTCGTTAGACTCCAATTTGTAATTGACTAGGATTGTAAGTTTTCCCACCGAAGGTCGGTGGTTCTCTCCGGTCACTCCGGTCACTCCGTCTTCCTTCTTCGACAATAAAAACTGGCAGCTGAAAGTGGCGTTAAACTCCAATTAATCAATTTATCAATCAAATATAATTGACAAATGGAGAATCTGTAGTATATTATTAATATTCGATTTAGGTGTTATTTAAGAAGTGTACCCTAATGGTTAAGCTGTTTACGTGCTTATATCATGAAATGTTTTTAAATCTATCCCGTATAGAAATTCAATTTGTTTTGTAAAATCTATTTGGCAAAATATAGCATTGATGTAACCCAGACTCGTTATTTATTTCATTCAATGTTGTAAACTTCAGTTCTCGAGAATTGTACCCTCGGTTAGTTGGACATTTATATGTTAATGCTTTTTTTATTTTATTTTAGCTCTGTATGTGAAACAAGTGATATACAACTGAACATGAGGGTTGGATTACATACAGGTCGAGTTTTATGCGGTGTTCTTGGACTAAAAAAATGGCAATACGATGTATGGAGTAATGACGTGACACTAGCCAATCAAATGGAAAGTGGAGGCATTCCTGGGTAACATTTTAATAAAATAACATGTTAAACACTTATGGGATTGATTTAAGAGAGTACCTTATAGTCTAGTTGTCATAGCATTTTATACTTACAGTAATCTTTAATTGATGATTTAAGATTTGCTCAAATTGTGTACATTTCTTGAACTCATTCTTGATATCTCCTCATGAAATAAAAATGTTATGGAAAAACATTTGTGTTTAATTTTACTTCTAATTAGCTAATTGGAATAGATATAAAAATCTAAGCAGATCATTTGTACGTGGGAAATGTTACAACACACAATTACTGTTCCATGTTTTATCGACATGTTACGTTTTTTACAAGAGAATTTAATGAAACAAAATGAACATTTAACAAACGTGATTGTTGAGTAAAATATACTCATGCAATTTTGCATGTCACGGATGCATATTTCGTTAGTTCTGTTACAGTTAATTACAGACACATTTGAATTGTAATACAAATAAATTTTGTTTGAAAATGTTCCAAAGATATATTTTTAAACAGAATACTGAAGAAGTTGAAAACAGTCAGTTCATTGAACAATTTCTTTTGTGATATTCAATGAGAAATTTGTCTTTCTTTCTTGGTTTGGACTAGTTGAAAATGAGCTTTTTAATTTTTTTAAGCAGAAGCTGTACTCACAATTTTGTACTAAGGAACCTTTTAAGAAACACAATCCTGATCAATTAGTATTTTCAGATGAACTGTAACATATGTGGCCTTGGGCTGTTTTCTGCTCTTTGGTCGGCTTGTTGTCTCTTTGACACATTCCCCGTTTGAATTCTCAATTCTATATGTGTAGTTAATGTAAATGTTTAATGAATATTTCAAACAACTTGTAGACGTGTCCACATTACAAAAGAAACATTAGACAATCTTCAAGGTGAATTTGAAACAGAACCAGGAGATGGCGGAGAAAGAAACCAATTTCTTAAAGAGAAAGGAATAGAAACATATTTGATCAAATCTAATCATCCTCGAAGGGTATATATTATTTATGGATATTATAAAAATAACTTATAAAAACTCTAGAATGTATTGAGATGATGTACTACAAATATACTCACAGGCATTAGAGATAAAAAAAGAACAAAGAATTTATTATTACAAAAGTCATGTAAATCATAATGTCATTTACTGCAATTTTCCTGTTTTTCATAATGTCACAATTAGAACTAATTTTGATTCAATATGTTAATCTCATTGCCTTCACCAATAAGCAGAAAGTCTGTGAATATATATAAAACCTTATTTTACCAAGCAAAAAGAGTTTCTTATGATTTTCTTTTCATCTGTCTTTAATTTATTTATTATTGAACTTTAACATCTTATTTAGATTACACTATTGCTGAAAGCACAAACTAAATCATCAGATTAGATATAAAATTTATTTTCATCTTAAGGCATAGAAAGGCAATTTCTCGTTATATCTTACAGCACCAGAATATGATGCAGTAAATTAAAAACACCAATTCAAACAATATTCTCAACATAATTGGCAGTAAAAATCAATACATTAATTAACCAAATTTAAGATAGGAAATGTGTTGTTAGGCTAAAGATCTGATGTTTACACAGTTTAGCCTTTCAAGTTATTTTATTAGAATTGAGGTATGTTAAAGTCTCCCTAAAATTTATATCAAGCTTTAAAAATCAGCCACTAGGGAATGACTGTAACATGACAGAACGTATTATCTTTGTGCTCCAACAAATCCTTATAGTATATACAACAAAGGTCAAACATTTCTTATCTCCTTTTTCAGGTCTTGAAATTTTTCTTAACTTCAGAAAACATGAATATGATTGATTTTTATTCATTTTTTCGATCTTCTAATTGAGTACATCTAGGCAATTATGTTATTTCTGAAATATTTACTTTAACATCAAAGAGCTCCTGAGATGCAAAATGAACAGTTACTTTGCTTTTACTGTAATCTGTCAGTACAATTAAAAACAAAGTGAATTTGTTTTCTTTGGCGTTCAAAATAATAATATTTATAGGAAATCGGATTATAATTATTGGCAAGACATATTGAACGTATTCCTGCATACTTGCACCATTTGATAAAATTCTAAGAAGAATAAATGAAAGACTTAGAAAATTTAAAAATGTGTTCAAAAAAAAGTTCTTTAATATCTATAATGTTTTACGATAAACTCTTAATTTATTCATTGGTGGCATCAGTGATGTAATACATGTTTTTTACGTGTTTATGAAGATGGTGTTTTTCAATCTATCATCAACCTAAGTCTGATAAATAGAAACCTTGATATTGCCAGTATGAAAGATATCCTGCCATAAAACCTTATGAAAAAAGTTCCGAACAATTGTGACTCAGAATATAAGGATAAGAAAGGTATACTGGAATATAATATAATAGTTAAGTTTTTTTATTTTTATTTCTTTTCATTTTAATGGATTTGAAAATTGGGATATGGGATATACACATGATAACAATCATAAAACATTCTAGGATTCAACCAAAAAGCCAAAAAAGTGAACTATCTGTTTTTTAATGTTCTCAGTCAATCATGACTATAGCACAGCTACAGGTAGTCAAAGGTATTTTATAAATAAGGTTAGCACATGAAAGAAATAAGATTGTGTCATCGTCTTTTAAACGACCTTTGTTCAGTTTATAATTTCACATTAAAATTCTTTTAATTTATTCAGATACCAAGTAAATTCTTAAACAAGTCAGATATGAGTAACATTCGAGCAAAGAAGTTATCATTTAGGAATGTATCCAGTTGCGTGATTCGCCTGATGCAGTCTGTCAAGTTTAATGCTGAAATTCCGTTCTCCAATGTGTTGACACCACAACCTGATGAGTCAAAACAATCTGGGTCCAAGTTTGTAAGTATATGTCTTTTAAAAGTAAGATCTTAAAATTTTTGTGATGTGTGCTGTCAGGAAATCAATGTTCTTTAGTAATGGCATATCATCTCATTTCCTGTAGAACAAGTAAGTGAAAATAAACACTTATTTTGCAATGTCCAGCTAATAATTCAAAAACATCTTATGATTATTTTCAAGATTCTTCGTTTCTAATTGCTTCAAATTCTTCACTCGATTAATTTTTCAGAAAAACTAAAATCTACAAACTTAAGACCCCACGAACATGTAACTTTTGCTCAAAAAACGAAAATTGTTACCCATGAATAAAATTACTTTCACAGTAATTGTTACATTCGCTATTTTATTTCAAAACATACAGTTGGTATCTTAATTGTCACGGACTTCGTTTCCCTGTTTTGTTTTTCACTTGTTCTCTTACTCGTATGAAGTAGAATGTATACACAGTATCTTAAGATAAAAAAAGAACAAAATGTTAAAATTTGAGATGTTATAATGATGTCTTATTAGTCAATTATAAAAGAGAGGCGAAAGATACCAAAGGGACATTCAAACTCATAAGTCGAAAATAAACTGACAACGCCATGACTAAAAAATAAAAAGACCAACAGAAAAACAATAGTACACAAAACACAACATAGAAAACTAAAGACTGATCAACACAAACCCCACCAAAAACCGGGGGTGATCTCAGGTGCTCCGGAAGGGTAAGCAGGTCCTGCTCCACAGGTGGCACCTGTCGTGTTAGTACAAACCCGGTGATAAGTAAAATTCGGTAGGTCACATTCGGGAAAAGGAGACGGGATTGTAGTTACGACATTAGGAACATATCTGCTATCTGTGAAACGGATATTCCGTAACGGTCAACCAACTCGTGATGGCGTCCGTAAAATTTACGAACGGATGATTTCAACTTCACAACTTGGAACTCTTGGTTTAATATCTTCCTTGTGAGCAGCAACCCTCCACCAAGGAAATCATGATAGGAAATACAAGCCCTGGATTATAAATTTTCCATTGATTACTTGCTCGCCTATAATAAACCAGTATTCTTGAAGTTCAGGATCCTACAGAGAAAAAAGTCTTGTCCATATCAAACGAAAGTTCTTATAAATTAATTAATTACTTAATGCTATCCCTGCCGGCCTAACTTGTTCCGCTCAGTTTCGACATACGATTCGAAAAGCTCACACTCCTATAATGTCCATTTATATCCTGAACTTAAGTACTTCTTATAGAATACATGATTGTATAATAATTTTACAAAAAGGGGGATGATACCTAGGGTCGATTAAAAACAATAAGATGACGAATATTAGATACTAGTAACCCTATTACCAAAGTAAAAAATTTAACTAATTTAACTAATCCTTCTCTAGTCGTGTCATCAACATTTAGATTTATAATTAGACTAAACGTGTGTCAGACGTTCAAAATTAGATGCCTGGTATTTATGATGAGTTTATTTAGATACAGTCAGAAGTTTTAGTTTTTCTTAGACATCTATAATTTTGTCGAAGCATCACTGAATGATATTATAAGTTAGGTTCTTCAAGATCAAGAGTGAAATTTAAAATATTTGTATCAATTTTCCTTATTTTACTGATAAAAGGCTTTTTTGACGTTAATATTTAGATTTAGTCTTGGGTTAAAGTTTCCAAATATCAATAACTTTATGGAATTTTATGAACAGGGACAGAATTTTCATCATGACCACAAAATGGCAACTTAAGAATTTTTGTTTTTTTTATTTTAACTTTTCTGTATTTTGCTGATGATTAGAATTATTTTTGTTTAGTAAACATTTAGATACAGTTTATGGTTAAAGTTAACAAAATATCAATAACCTTTCTCAAACCTTCATTTTCAGGAAACTTTGAAAGAAGATTCTTCATACTCAATAAATACCTGACATGTAGATTTAAAATTTTGAATTTTCCACCCATTCTTTCGTTATTTACAAATAAATTGTTTTTTGGCAGTCAACTTTTTAGGTATAGTCTGTTGTGAAAGATTTTGAATAATTTTGCCAAACCTTCATGGAATTTTACAAAACTTTGACTGAAGCTTCTACATAATCAAGAGATTGAACCCTGAGCAAATTTTGAATTATTTTTTAGATAACGATGTTAATACAAAATATTTTCCAATAATTTAAATTCAAGACTTAAACAAGGTCATATTCAGATGTAGATACTCCTTACGGTGCCTTGGTGCCTCCCCTTTTCAAAATCCTTGAATCGCAATTGATATGCTTTTGTCACTATTAATTTAGTAAATCATTTCTGCAACTAATTATTTCAAACATATATACAAATAACTCCTTAAATATATATATATATAATTAACACATATGTTGTATTCCTTGAACATATTTCACTCTATAAGGTCCTATAAAATAGTGTTCTTCTACAAATTCTGAATTATACATTTGTCTCTGTGGTCAGTGGTCTGATTACCATGGTCACAGATAAAAGTTTCATACCCATTCATCTGACTTTCTAATCTCTACCAGCAGGGAGTCTGATAAGAGGTTGTAATATGTTGAATGGATTAATTAACATCAATAAATTGTGCAATTTGATATCTCCTAAATTTTAGGATGAAATTTGGCGTTTGTCCTATAACTGAGTGGGGCAACCGTATACTATGGACACATTCTTGTTGTTTGATGTGTTGGAGCTTTTGATTTTGTCATTTGACAAAGGCCTTTTCAATTTGAATTTTCCTTAGAGTTCGGATTTTTGTTATTTTGATTTTTATACGGTTCGCTTTTACACGAAAAATGAATATGTTTATAATTGTGGACAAATGACCTCTGTCAAATGCTACTTTTAAAGTATTCGATTGAGATAATAAAGGAATATTCAGTTACATGGATTGTGCTATAATGTTATTTAATGTCTGACAGCAGTGATCAGTTTTAAACCTTCTTTAATGTCATTTTATAGTTACAGTTTTTAATACAGTATACCAAATCAAGTCATGCATCAAATTAATATTAGAAAATATCAATAAAATCTGTGATTAGGAAACATAAAAGTTCCATTTTTATGCAGAAAAGTATTTATAATGTTGACTAAGCCTAACAGTCTTATCAATATTGGAACTGGTAAATATACCATGCAACATATGAATTAGGGGAATCAATTTCAGCTGATATGAAACATTAGTTCGATGTAATTACTTGTAATTATAACATTAAAACGTCATGAAATATAAGATGGTTTGATGTTAAATACAGAATTACACATTCGTTTTAAAAGATTACTGAAATATTCAGGTGTAACTTTTATGAATATTACCAATGAGTCAATATGTTAAAAAACATTCAAATCTCTATTGAATTTCTTTTTTCTAAATATTTTTGTTATAAGCATTATACCGTTTTAAGGGCATTTGCCATTATTGCCACCAAGTGATGCCATTTTAGTTACTGACCGATTGATTACCTGAATTCCAAGTGATCAAGTTTATTTTCCTTACTTTAACATTCTTTGGTTGTTTGAAGATAAAGTTAAAGTATGGTGTTGTTTGATTTAATATGAAAAATAGTTTTTTTAATGCGATTTAACTATCCTTTATTACAATATTTAAATTGATTAACGATTTTTTATTTCCTTCCTAAATGATCGACTTATAATTATGTTTTCTGGCGCAGTGATACTACTACATAATTGTTTGCATAACAATATATAAAATCAAAGACGTAATCGGTTATTCGTTTGGGTTTGTTATTTTAAGAGAGATGCTAGTGTTTTCTTATAGTTAAAGTCCTCAAAATATTAAAGTGTTTAATGAATTAAATAATATTTCATTTAGTTACAGCATTATGGTACTTACAGTTTGTTGTAATATCTATTAATTAGAGATTTCAGCATACTTGCGCTAAAATGTTTTGCGATTTACACTTCCACTTTTTAAATTCCGTTTAATGTTTAAAGGGGGGGGGGGGGGGTAATCTTTACTTGTTAAAACACTCGTGATGTTTATTATTATCATTTTAGGCAGCCAATGCTGCACAAGTGTTTACTTCAGATTCAAAGATTATCGCCGTAACAAAATACGTAACAGACCAAAAGACAAACAACAGTACACAAAACAAACAACAAAGAAAACCAAAGACTGAGCAACACGAAACCCACCAAAAACCGGGGGTGATCTCAGGTGCTCCTGAAGGGTAAGCAGATCCTGCTACTCATGTTATACAAACTTGGCGATAAGGAGGAAAAGAGGACGGGATTGTGGTAACAACAATTGGAATATAATTCGGCCAGAATCATGTATACAGAATTAAGCGATATTTTAACAAAGTTACATGTATATACCTTCCAATACTTGTCAAAAGAGCTTCCAACAGATGCTATGAATAAATCATTTGCAAATAAATTACTTATGTCAAAATTTACATCTATGGAAGTTAAAGTCAGATTGGCAACTTACACCACCGACGACACTTTGTGTTAACCTCACATGGAATTAAAGTAAGAGACCACATTCAACTTAAAACTTACCGGAGTTTCACCAAATGGCTAAACAATTTTTTCCCTGAATGTCCGTGGCGAAAAAGGGAGTGTATATTGTACATGAAGACGGACTGTACACGTTCTTTTACGGTAATAACAGTTTGTTTTTGGTGATGTTAACTCGCAAATTTTCAAGAATTGACAAGAGCTCCTCTATTCTGAGACAGTTAATAAAAACTGGAAATTAAAACGTGATTAGAAATTATGAAAGAATTCAGGTTTATGATATCGTGTTACAAAAATACTCTTATCGAAAAGACCACTTGACAAAGTCGAAAGATGTCTGCCAAGAAAATTTGTAAGACAATCGAAATGTTTGCAGTATGATGTTTACGTTGCTTTCTAGTGTGTTTGTTTTATCTTATCTGATATATTCTTAATTTAGTTTTATGGTGCTATGATTTTAACCAATTAATGTAAACCATCATATTTCCGATTTTGTAATTGCATTTATATCATGTTTGGGTTTTAATTATACACACTGTGTTGATTAAATGCTAAACATAATAAAAATGTCCATAGTCATGTAGGCTGTAACTTCAAGGTGTCATTATTTTCTTTGAGTGTAATGCGGTTATAGAAAAAATTCCTCTCATTTCGTTCAGATACTACACAACAGAGCTACTTGATATTAAGTTCAACATCAAATTTGTTTTAGCTACACTGTTTGATACATTGTAATTTCATTCTCATGTCAACTTCCGGTTCACTCAAAACAGTACATCGATGGTAATGTACTACTTGATAATTTTGCACTTATCAAACAAAAGCTCCGAAAATATCCGAATCATTTTAGTTTCAAAATGAAAAACAAAAATATAAGGTGAAGTTATAAGCGCACATTATTTCCTGCAGATGTATCAAAATAACGAAAATTGAAAATATATTTGAACATTGTTTAACTTATTTCATAGCCTTCGTTATTATTCACATGTATACATAAGTCTTTCCCAATCATCAAAAACAGCTGAAGTTATTGAATTAAAAGATCGATTATATAATTTAAGAATTCCTTAACACATGTATCTCCCTCCCGAAAGGCTCTAATTCATTGTCTGGGTGTGGATATTCTTTTGATCCTTTTCGGTTATATCAGCTCTTCAACCCTTTGTGTTGAGTTTTGGAATTGTTTGTACTGTTAATTTTATTTAATAAAGGCATTGACTTTGATATAAGTGAATATTGTTTAGGGTAAGGACCTTAATGGTATTAACTTGGTCAAATATATAGATTCTGACATACCTGCATTAAATAACCAAAAATTTTCATTTAATCATGTATCCATATTATAAAGATTACTTATCATATCTCATTTTTCAAGAAACATATTACCATTGTTGGTCAATTTGGTGACAAGTACTTTACAGACAATATATTCATAATCGTGGATAACAACACTAACTTAGTTTTATTACTTATTTGGGTGTATTGGAATGCCAACCGATGTGAATAAACATTGAACGGTATAATTTTACTGCACCAGATACCAAAATTCGCCAAATACACAAATCAACTAAACTTCAAAATTGTAACTGAAGACAGCCACTGATGAGATTCATGACATCCGTAAAGCAAACACATGAACATGTAAAAGGATTAAATACATAATGTATGTAATCAATCCACTTTTTAATTTTCATCAGTTGAGAATCAAAAGGCACACGAAACATGAACTGGTTATTAACATGCTATGATTTCACAAAAAAAAAAAAACAAACAAAAAACAAACATAAAAAAACACCACAGTAAAAGGATGGTTTGAAGGATACATTCGTAAATTTTAGTTTTATAATACAATTATTACTATGATATTACCACAAAAAGCTGGTTGTGAAATGATTCTTTTTTTTATCAAGATACCGTAAGTTGTATCCTACATTCGCAATAAACTGTATTTCAATACTACAGGATAGTACTATCAGTTAAAGGATATGTGGAATTCCATTGAATACATATTTACATTTATTCCAGACAAAATTTGGTTATTCAGTAACAGACAAACTTCGGAAAGCTTTCAAAGAAAGGTATGTAGGTGTGTTTGTTTCTTGTTAATATTCGACTGACTCGAAAGTAATCAATACAGTATGAGAAAGTGAAGAAGGCATGCTCAGTTGTTGCGTTTTAGCTGAAACATTACCGTTTCTTTGGAGAACAAATTGATCCGGATAAAAGAAATTTGATAAATAAATCTGTATTTCTAATATCATTTAAACATAAATTGTCAGTGCAGCCTTTTATACATGACAATTTGTATGCAGTACAATGATATGTTTTGCAATTTGGTTAAATTATTTCAAAGTAGAAGGAACGCAATTTATATTCTTTTGAACCAACAAACAATTATCAAATGTGATGCGTATAATTCAATTATGAATTTCTGCCACTAAACGTCATACATTATAATTGTCTTATACAAAAGTTGCATGAATCGGGAACAAATATATTAAGTTAGCCTTTTGAGTTATTGTTGTAATCATTTGTGTAATATCTTCATCGTTAGTATTGCAATTACGAACCATGCAACCGAAATCGGGGCAATGAATATGTTTGTTAAAGCTTTCATTTTTCAATTAAATGACTCATATCAGCCTATTTGTAGGTGCCAATTTGATTCAGATAATTTATTTGAATGATTAGGTGAGATGAAGAGAAATCTTTGTATAAAATAACTTTTGTTGATTATCAATACTATTATTATCAAATTCTTATCAAAAGTCTGACATGATGAGGTTGAGCATTTAATATCAAGATTCCTCTTTCTCATTTTTGTTAGTTTCAAACCTTTAGTTCATTCTTTGTTTGATTGTTTTCCCAATCGAAAGAGGAATCTACTAATATCTAATAACGTTAAAAATTAAACATTTGATATCGGACGTAGTATATAAACTTATTTTTCCTGGTTACAGACATTCTAACAAACCACAACCTCAGGACCGTGTTAACAAATACCTGGCATCTGCACTGACAGCACGAAGTGTAGACAGGGAGAAGAGAGATCACGTGAACTTCTTTACTTTACGATTTAAGGAATCGTCAAAAGAACGAAGGGTACATTTAATACTTAGTATAAAATTATGTGAATGGTTTACTTTAATGTTGAAACGGCACTACTTAATAGACAAAACTCATCAAATATATTATTTTAATGTAATACTATAAAACCCATCTGATCTTAAACTAGTGGACATATTTGAATCACTGTTTACTGAAATAGTGCGTGGACAGCCATTTACGATAACGTTTAATACAATTCTGAAAAAGGATGACAACAACAGGAAATAACTGCTCTGAAAAAAAACCACTGTTTTGTCTTTATTCTTATTCAACCGAAAATTTTCTTTTAAACGGAACAAGAATTCATTGCCTCAATATTTACAATAATAAGTGTTTTTCCATTTTTTATCTAATACTACTAAGCAAATATTAACCAAATTTGACTGAAATAGTCTTTTATGAAAGTCCCTCAGTTTTTGCTGATTTAATAATGCATATGCCTACCATAGAAATGATTTTTTAATTTCTATCGATCAATAATGTTCAGTTTTCCCATTTTTGAAGCTGCAACGTCAAACTTGGCTATCTTAATTAAATAAGTATATAAAGACCTTCAACCACAAATCCCTTCTTTATGTTGATTGGGTTGCTCGCCGCAATATAAGAGGAAACAATGGTTTACCGATGTTCAAATCTCGTAAATCGATTTACAATATACAAATCAAGATATCAAAACAAAATTCTGAGGTTATAGCATGGATACCAAAATGAAACGATAAGGGGGGGCGTTGACATGGTAAGTGTCTCCTGATATGCATTTACCATGGCCTTGCGAATTAATACTCAGTTAGAAAACGGCAAAACATTCTCAATGAAGATCTATTAGTCCCTGAGGATATCACCAGCTCAGTAGTCATTTTTTGCGGTACTGACATGATTTTCAACATAACTTTCCTAAGTTGTCTGATTATAAATTTCTAAATTATAAGAAATCAAAGGTCCACCAGGCAAGTTTGACCTTAGATGGATTTAGGTTTTTATCGACGTGCCTTTTTATCGTGTTTCAGAATTTATTTCACAGCCTTCGTTATTATTTACATGTTCTTAGCATTGGCAAGTCCCAAAGACGCCTTTTTCAATCTAAATGAATTGCATAAAAGTCTATTATGGTGCCATTTAACATTATATTTAGATCTTGTTTAGATACGAAAATATGTGCAGATCAAGAATAGATATTATCCATTGATGTACAAGTGAACAACTATGCCATTTCAATTAAGAATATGTCAGATTTACTAGTACAAATTATTTCATAAATTTAAGTTAGGAGAGGGATTTCGGATTTTGTGAGACTATACTATAGTTCAGTGTAATCATTTAGTGATTGTTGAAGTTAAACACTTCTTACAAGAGTATATTTTCGTATGGTTTATCGTTATGGCATATTGGATAATAGTAAATAATGTCATTGTCTTTTTTTAGTACCATGCTGCAGACGACTTTGCTTTTAGTAGTAGCATGATATGTTCCTTAATCATGCTCCTATGTACAGCTGGAATGCAAACAGTTGTACTACCAAGGTAATGATTCTTAAAAATGCTTTGTTAAAAGTTAGTAGCAATAACATTAACCAATCTTATTAAAATTAGTTCTCCGCGCTGGCTCATCATTTTTGTTCGGTTGTTTATATGTCACGCGCGACATATAAACAATCTAACGAAAATGAGGAGCAAGTGCGGATAACTAATTGTAATTATATTGTAACATTAACGGTACCAAATTTATTGTACCAGATGCATATTTCGACAATTAATGTCTCTTCAGTGACGATCGTGGCCAAAATATTTGAAAATTCAAAATAGTACAAATGCTTAAATCAGAATAGTTGTGAAGGAGTAATACCACCATTATTTTCCCCTATTAGTCTTTGTCCCGCGCAACGCGTTGCGAGGGATATGGAAATACCGGGTGCCCGTTCGTCCGTCTGTGCATCTGTCCGTCCGGTCTTATTAGCACTCTCAGGTGTACAGTTCTTGCCAGATTTTTATGAAACTTATATCATAGATTTATATCAGCAATGTCTTGGACGAGTTTGAAAATCAGTGCGGATCAGTTATTTTTAAAAGAGTTGTGCTGCCCTTGGAAACATTAATTATATGGAAAATTGCATCGTTAGCGCTCTCATGTGTACAATTCTTGCCAGATTTTTATGAAACTTATATCATAGGTTTATATTAGCTATGTCTTGGATGAGTTTGAAAATCAGTGCCGATCAATTATTTCTTAAAGAGTTATGTCCCTTGTTAAATTGGCATTTAAAAAAAAATGTGCAGAATTTATCGTTGTTTTGAATAAAGAAATACTTAGCATGAGTAAAGTTTTATCCTATCCATTACTACAGTAAAAATTTCACATAACGGTTCAGTGCATACAAGATAATTACCCTCACAAGAAGTTAACCAATCAAATGTTCACCCCTTTTTTCCTTAGCTTTAGTAACCATGGCACCTCAAGTTTCCAAAATATTTTATAGAAACACCAAAGAAAAAAAATGGTGCTTTGAAACACACAAGATAGATGCTTATGACTCAGAAATTTTCATCTGCAATGATACAGGGTTAATATCCTACAACTGTCAAATTTAATATTTTTCTCGACCCTTTTTTGTATGAAACCAGATGTGACGTTCTATGTCCATGTTTTGGTAATTTTACACATATGAACAAAGAAAGGAATTACGAAGTTGAGTATTGGCAAAAGTTATGATGAATCTAAGTAAGGCCATCTATATAAGGAAGTAAAGTTTTGAACATTATATGAATAGCGCAATGACCACATCAATGATGTTTCGTGCCAAGTTCCAACCTTTGGGATGATGATACCCTTGCTATTGTAACGTCCACCAACAGTGACATCGACTGAGTTGTTATAAGAAACTTATCGAAGATACTTGGTTTATGATTTGGTACGCAATACAATAGAACAGTTATATGGGTGCTTCACAAACACACATTAAAATAAATACATTATTACCACTTACACCTGTGTTAACGATATCTTCATTGTATTCTCATCATATTGTTTTCAATATCTTTTGATTTTCACAATGAATGAATTTCAAATTATTATCTTTTCGTCTAATAATGTGTCATTATTCAGTATTGGTTCATGTATCTTTATCACTATGAGTTTATTTTTTGTACAGAAAAATAATGAATGATTGCTTGGTTTTCAAGGAGAGATTTTAAGTCCCCATTGAATGAACTCCACCAGGGACAATTGCTATTTATTTACTCAATGGGACATTTCACCTTCCAAGAAATTAAATACCCTGACTGAAAATCTACTAAATCTCCTGCAAGGCTTTTTCCCCTTATAATAAATGAGCTCATACATTTTTATTCTCAAAATTTATACAAAAAGAATTCATTCAAATTTGCAAAAAAAATCTGTTATTTTCTTTTCTTTACAGGACCATTTTGCTTCTAATGCTTTTCCTGGCCTCATTTGTGTGGATATCGCTTATCTTGATGTTACTTCTCAGTGTTAAACTCAAGGTCAGTTAATATGATATAAGGTTTACGATTACGACGGATATTTTATTCTTAGAAAAAAATAATAATCATTCATTTAGCATAAAGGATAAAATGACTACAAATGAATGCTCTTTCTAATATGAACAGCAAATAATTAAATAGAGGAGTACGTACAATAACTGTTTAGATTTCATTATAAATAACATTCATAATTTTATTGGCTTTTTGTACAAATTATAATTGAATTAAGCCTTATCTAAGAAATGTAAGATGTTAAAAAGTAACAACAATATACATCACCTTGTTTAAACATTTAATAAGCCAATAGGAAAAATGCAGAGAAACTCATGAAATTGTTTTGCTTTGTAACGACATAAAACTAGATGGGAAAAGTTATATTCCTGAAATAGCTTAAGACTCTTATATACTGTGGTAAATCGTAATTGACAACAGCATAGTGTTTATGGAAATTCTTATGAACTTTCACAGATTTTCTATTGAATTTGATACTTTCTCATGTAGGAACCGCTTTTTATCTATTGAAACAAGGATATTTATAACTGAATGTGATGGTAAACAGAAAGGTAGAGAATCATATAAAGAATTGATATCCCCTAATATATTCAATTTCTACTGCACTAATCAAATTTTTAGATAAAATTGTATGAAAAATTTCAGATTCTAACCATTAATCTTCTTCCATTAGATAAACATTTACTTCTTACAACATAAATAATTTCTTCAATCGATCTGTCTGACATTTCTCTCAATATCACGTCATCTTTCGCTCAGAATTCTGTTATCACATTTAAATTAACACTGAACTGACTTTGATTTTCCGCAAGATAACATCTCTTTTTCAATTAAATATCAAGTAAATTTTTGTTATCACTATGGTACTGCATATCATCAAAATGATTCGTTCCCTGTGAGTTGTATGCACCAAGCACAACGTGAAGTTAACTAACATTCACGAAGTTAGAAAACATCTATTACTATTAGCGCTTTAGGTAGTATCCAAACAACTTTTCGATCAATTACACTGATACTTTATTTTCCTTTCATTAAATGGTGTTTTAAGTATTAACGGTGTAATCATGGAAACAATCAAACGGATCAAAATACATATGCTGAAGAAAAAAAAGTTTTGAGAAAGCAGCATCAATTTGAGTAGTATTTAAACTTTATTATTTTGCAGGGTTTAAAAGAAATTAAAAAATAAATGTAATTTTTTAATATCTTAAAAGGTCCTTCAACGCATTGGCTTGTTTCCGTGTTTATACGGCTTGATAAAAATCCTCAAAGTAGATAATTTTGATGGCACAGAATTGAGACAGTCATAAAAGTTAACAAGTACCGATGGTTCTAATTTTATAATGTCTGAGAGTTTCTTTCGCATTTTCTCAAGAACTACAAATCGTAGTTTCTTGGTATTTGGTCTTAAACTTTTTATTAGTCATCTGTATCGTGTTTAAGACAAATTTTTAAATAAATCACTTTTATTCTTCTGATTTGCCGCATAGATGTATGCTCATTACATTGATATACATATGAGTTTGTTGCATTTCGGTATCAAGCTTCAAATTTGTAAATTTTACAGTGTCACACATTTTCAGATCCCTCACGTATTCATTTTCTTTTTACCGGGTTTTCTTCAAATTGTTGGAAATACATCAGATTTATTTTTCATTTTACTCATTAACTAGAATTCATAGTTACTTGATAATTAGTACTATGTTTACTATTGTCAAGTCAACACCATGTGCTCATCTGTTTTCTTGTGTCAGCTTATACATTGTTTGGAAAATGCATATCCTTAAAGTCCAAATAGAGAGCAGATATAAAAGTTAATGAGCAGTTAGTCTCAGTAAATATTCCATTTGCGTATCTCGAATCGATACTAGTATTTCAAATGAAAATTACACCAGCATATGGTGTTCATAGTGTATGAGAAGTTTGCTTGATAGTTAAGCCACCTTAAAAAACTATGATTTTTAAATACAAATGATATAATCTGTATAAAAAAAACTCGTCATATTGAAGTACTTGTGATGTATTGCGAAATTTTCAGTGTGCACCGTTTGATATTCGTAAATCTTCAGGATTGAGATTGTTTGTCATGATCACCACAATAGCCCTTATCTATGCTACATCTCAAGTGAATATTGTAAGTATTGTTAATTATTAAGGACATACGGATGAAACGCTGATCGTTTAATGTACTTATATACATTGAATGTGTGTAACCGTCATATTTGTTTGGCAATACCAAGAATTCACGATCTGAGTTAATCTGTTTTCCAACATAACTGTACAAATCTTCTTGACCGGCCTAGAAGTCAGATTTTCATTTAATTTATCTTAGCCGTCACCCGAAATTTTCGTAAATAGATATAAGAACATGTGGTATGAGTGCCAATGAGACAACTCTCCATCCATGTCACAATTTGTAAAAGTAAACCATTATAGGTCAAAGTACGGCCTTCAACACGGAGCCTTGGCTCACACCGAACAGCAAGCTATAAAGGGCCCAAAAAATTACTAGTGTTAAACAATTCAAACAGGGAAAACAACGGTCTAATCTATATAAAAAACGAGAAACGAGAAACACTTATGAACTACATCAACAAACGACAACCACTGAACATCAGGTTCCTGACTTAGGTCAGGTGCAAACAAATGCAGCGGGTTAAAACGTTTTAATAGGCGCCAACCTTCACCCTAACCTGAAACAGTAGTGTAACATCACAACAAAGAAAGACACACTATAAGATATCAATTGAAATGGCTTAACTCAATAAAAATACATAACAAAAACAAGTGAACATACACTGAACGAATAAATTTGATCTATGACACAATGTAAAAACAAAATTAAAAGAAAATGGTTGAGATGTAAAACAATATCAGAAAGACAACCATAACCTTGGACAAAATGCCGCCAAATAAAATAGCGTACACAGGTAAAAAAAAAATTCTGTTGTAAGGTATACATCGAGTACGGAAATATTTATTACAAAAAAAAATTTTGTTGGTCATAGTACGAGAACAGAAGTGAAAATTTATCGTCATGCCTAACACTTATCAAAGGTGGTATATATTAAAAAAAGTGAGACGAGAATGTACTAAACTGTACCAGTTTGTAGTTAAATTACCAATAGCTTATAATGAATGTACTCGGCTCGATCTGATCCATAATAACAACACCAAGAACCATACTTCATCGATACTGAACCATACTTGAAATTAACTTTGATCAGACTAAGTCAAAAACAAGATAATTGTTACATGTTTTGAGTTCAGTATAATTCAAGTTCAAGTCATGTATAAGTAATAACGTAGCCCTTTGAAAATAAAGTAGCCTATTCAGACGTCCTGTCTTAATGTGTCAGGATGACACGAATTCCTGCATCACTAACTAAATTCCTTTAGTTTTTGACCAAAAAGGTAAATGTTGGCTTTCTGCACACCACTGGAAGTTCTTTTGAATTCTATGTGAAATACTGAAGGACATTTTATTATTCTGGATCTATAACTTATCCAAATGCAACTTAATTTACATTTAATGTAATTGCACAAGTAGACGAGTACATATCGATCAGATTTGCGTTTCCTATTTTCTGATTAACTTAGGATGGTCTTTTGTGATCAATTTTGAATAAAATTAGATATGAAGAAATGCGATCGAAACTATTTGTAAACGTTTGGAAAAATTCAGGACAACAGTAGTTTACCGATGTTCAAATCTCTAAAATGCATTATGAAGACACAAATCAAGGTGTAATACAAAATCGGAGGAAATCGAATGAACATTAAAAATAGCGAGACCGTATGTGTCGACGGGGTAAGAGTCTTCTACTAAGCATGCACCAACGGCAATGAGAATCCACAATCAGTTATAATATAATCGTTAATTTTATCAGTAAATCTACAGATCAGACCACTATTCACCCTGAGAAAAATATCCTACTTGGTAATGCTAATGCTCAAGATGTTATTGACCATGTGTCATACATATACCTATTGTAGTTTCATTAAATGAACCTAGTTGTGAAACTGAAAATATTCCTTTTCGTTTAGTATAATGCTATTTGAGAGAATAATGTCATATATATTAATATATAAAATATGTAAATTGTTAACTCTTTTCTCTTTTTACAGCTATGTTGTAAAGATTCTGCTTTCTACAAAACGCTTACAAATGCTAGTATGACATATATTTCCTCTGATGAACACTTGAAATGTCCACTTCCACAATACATCTATCTGAGTGGCATTATGGGATATATATGCGTTTCCGTTTTCCTAAAGCTTGCAGCTGGAGTAAAAGTGTTCATGATGGCAATCATTGCTGCGGTGTATATTGTTGTTATGGAGTTTACGCATGTATCTGTGTTGAGTGCGTTTGACAACGTTTACAGGTATAAAACATTAAAAAGACAAGGTATCTCAGAATCATTATTACTTACTGTACATATAACGGTATATTGAATCTTGAAAAGAAAGATTAAAACGATTCATTTAACAAAACATCTGTTTCTCATCATTTGGTACACCTGAGTATTAGGAACAGTCAACAACATTTTCCTATAAAATGGCGTACAACATAGTATTGATCATTTGATAAAAACCCAAAGAAATTCAATAGATATCACAGGGATATTTAAACTCATAAGTCGAAAAAGAACTGACAAACGCCATGGCAAAAAACCCAAAACGACAAAACGACAAACAACAGTCTATAGAATACAACATAGGTAATCAAAGACTGCACAACACAAACCCTACCAAAAATCGGGGATGATCAACAGTTTATCATGAAAACACACTCACTACATAAAATCTTTAAATGGTTCATATTCATGTCTTTATTCGTCCACAAAAAAATGTGTTTCCATTTGAGACTCTCATTACCGGCCTTATTAGAATGGGAATTTACATGTATCGATGCTTTATGAATTTTATAATGTTTCATGGAAAGACACAATAAATTTGCTAATCCGCTATTATGTGGGGTCTAATACTTAGATAAGTTTTACCATTTGGTTTTACCATAATTATTACGACAGGTGACCTTTCAATTAGATTTTAGTAACTGTGAGTACTCTTATTTCGGTGTTTTGTGTCTATTGTTTTTATGTTAGTTGTTTTTGTGCCTCGTATCGACTTTTTGAGTTAGCCAATTGCAACTGATTCTCACAGTTTGTTCTTATATTGTGTGTAACACCACTGTCCCAGGTTAGGGGAGGGTTGAGCGCTCACAAACATGTTTAACTCCGTCACACTCTTTATGTGCCTATTCCAAATAAGGATCCTGTAGTTCAGTGGTTGTTGTAGGTTCATATAAAAATAAGAAGATGTGGTATGATTGTCAACGAGACAGCTCTCCACCAGAGACCAAATGACACATAAGTTAGCAACTATAGTTTTTCTACTTGAATTGTTTCACATTTTCCATGTCGGGTCCTTTTATAGCCGACTATACGGTATGGATTTTTCTCATTGTTGAAGGCAGTACTGTTGCCTATAACTGCTTACATCCACTTTATTTGAACTTTGATGGATAGTTGTCTCATTGTCAATCATACTACATCTCCTTATTTTTATATAAGTTTAACAGAAACTGCCGATCGTTCAGGAGCAGATGAATTCATTATCGGCTGTTTGTGTGGTTTGTGGTTATCAATCCATATAATGTATTGTAGACTGTATTTTTTTCTTTGTTTGATTTATTGTTTTTGGTTTGCCCATAGGTATCTTTCTGTCTGAAAATCCCTTACCGGCAAAGCCTCAGGAAACTTTAGGTTTGCAGTTTCTATGAAAGTTCACTTAATTTTTTCTGCACTACTCAATACTTCAAACTATTGATTAGATATTTGGTATATAGTTATATCATAAGACAGTACAGAGTTCTATTTTGGCGATTTTAGCGGAGGTTGTGACTAAACATATTTTTCCACACTTTTTTCTGTAATGCCTCTTCAATTGATTAGAAACTTTACAGAAAAACTCAAAAGGTGCCATGTATAATCATATAAAGCCATATTATATAATGTAATAGATAGAGTTTAAGTATCTTACTATATGAGCGACTTTGTGTGTATAGTCATACCAGAAAAGTAAGGGATAAACTTTGAGATCGGGATGACGAGTATTGCGGAATGTGTTGGATATAAGATTTACTTGAAAATACAGGGATGCGTTAAGCTTGCAGTTATTGAAATTGTTTGCATCTTTAAATAAATATTCTGACTTGAATAATGGTAAAATGCAAATTACATTGGAACAAATTTTTCCATGTGACAACTTAAAATTCACTTACAATTCAATACTTATCCTTTATACTTGTAAACTCATCCAAGTTTCTGATGGTAGATGGCATTGTATTGCATAATCAATAACCTACGAATGTTTGTGTTATATTATATTTCATAAAAATGATACTCATTGAAATAAATATGGTAAATGTATCCATGTATTCCAAAGAGTGTTGAACAGATTTGAAAATGTTATTATGTTTCTTATTTGAAAATAAAATCCAATTTTGTAAACTAAATACCTTAAGGAAACACAATTTGAACTTCAATGTGTTTGTTTATATTTTTAAACACGTATATTTTAGTCAGATCATTTAGGTTGTATCAGTATTTTCAACCTCTCTATTTAGCATCATTGGTCCATATTTAGAAAGTCTATTTTTGCATTATATAATTTACAAAAACTAAACTCGAATCAAAGGACATAATATTTCACTTGTAATTGTAGACCAGTTATTCCAACTCATGTTATTGGTGCAGTTGTATTGATTGTTTTCATGGTAACCTTGTACCTGCAGGGTCGACAACAAGAATGGACTTCTCGATTAGACTTTTTATGGAAAACACAGGTATGAACTCTTTCAATAAATCTTGCTACACATTTTTTTTATATTTGCAATATGTTGCATTCAAAGAGTGCAGATGATAAAAAAGTTAAATTGTTTAAAATTTCGAAAGATACAACCTTCTCCTCTGAACTGTCTTGTAAATTAGTTTACATGTATTACTTTATTTGATGACCTATAATGCATTTCAATTAACAGGCAACTGAAGAAAAGATAGAGATGACAGACCTACAGACCAACAACAGACAAATCTTGTGTAATCTACTCCCTGCCCATGTTGCTGCTCATTTCATTGATCTACAGGCAAGAAGTAATCTGGTAAGTTCAGACAGATGATTACGTATAAAATAAGGAATTGACTACGTGAATATTTAAAAAATAAAGATTTTCCATTGAACGCAATCTCATGCCTTCGACAACATCGTTACGAAATACCTGTTATATTTTTAGCAATACCTGTACATTCTTTCTATAAACAAATATAAGCTTATCTTATCTAGTAGTGAACAATTATTCATTTTAACAAATTTTCAGTTTAAGTTCACAAATAGTTAGAAGCATCGGTTTTTTTCATATTAGACTTTTTAACTAATGACAAAGAGGATACTTTAAATGTGCTTTTTATACGCCCGTTTACGGGACGTATTATGGTATACCGTTGACCGTCTGTCCTTCCGTCTGTCCGTCCGTCCGTCCGTCTGTCCGTCCGTTCGTCTGTCCGTCCGTCCGTCGTCAACATGTCGGACATTAATTCAAAAACGCTTTAACCAATATGCATGAAACTTTGGTGAATTGTTTATATCTATTGACGTGAGCTCCCTTTCGTTTTTTATAAATTTCAGATTTACCATTTCCGAGTTTTGGGGTTTTATTCATTAAAAAAGGGGGATTTTCCAGTTTTCATGACATGAACGACTTTATAATGTAAGACGTTTGTTGACCTCTGAATGTTTAATTTGGGGTTTTTGGTTTCGGTAGCCACATACCCCATTTCATTTTATTGATATGAAAAATAAAAGAGCGAGGAGTGAACATAGGTGCTTCAAAGTGTTCAAGTTGGAATACCTAAATTTGTTTTAAAATACCTACCATTACATTTATGTCTGAATAGTTGAATCAAACGAATAAATGTTTTGCTATATAAAAAGTTGATGGGCGTTATTTGTTTATTAACTCTTTTTATTATTTTTCTAAACCTCATGTGAACTGACAAACTCTGGCATTAAGGTCAAATCGAGTAGATTTTTTTGTCTATTCGACTTATGTCTTTGTCCCTTTGATATCCCATACCTCTTTTATACTATAAGATACATTTATTTTCTCATATGCTAGAATAATTGTTTTCACACATCTATACTAATTGAATGTTAAACACGGCTACCAATATTTTAGTTCACATGCAAGCAGAGTGTTGAATTTTTTCTATCACCTAAACAAAACTGTCAGTAGATTTTCAATAAACAATACATGTAATACTTCAAAATCTCCAGGTTGTCGGAGTAATTAAGTTCTATGTTTCAGGATGATCTCTACAGTCAGCATTACAGCAAAGTTGGTGTGTTTTTCGCCTCGATTCCAAACTTTTCTGATTTCTATATTGAACTTGATGCCAATAATCAAGGAGTGGAATGTTTACGTGTTTTAAATGAAATTATTGTCGATTTTGACGAGGTAAAGTATTGATTCTTTAAAATTAAACATAATTAATACAAGGGAGCAGTTTTAATTAAAGGGGTTGAAATCTTGTAAATCCTCCTAAAACAGTGAACTCTTTTATTTAAACTTGATAGAATCTGTATTATTATTTAAAAAAATAGTTTGGGTTATATATATATATATATATATATATATATATATATATCCAACGCAATGATAGGTCTGAACGTTGTTTTCAATTTAGACTTGTAAATATATATATATATATAAACAAGTCTAAATTGAAAACAACGTTCAAACCTATGATTGCGTTGGATAAAAAACCGCAATTTTTATACGTGTGCTTGCAAAACAAATTTCTTGTTGGTGGGGTCTAAATACAGCACAAACAATATTTTCCAAAAGACCAAAAAAGTGAAAAAGTATATTTTAACAAAACGCATTTGACTAACAGGTCGAACAACAAATGTTCTTAAACCCTGCTGACTGCCATTGGCGATTGCCAAATAAACGGATCACCGATGTAATAAATGGATCTTAATTATAAATTTAATACTAAACAGAAAACAATAAACTTGCGGAAAAGATGATATACCGCAAACAAAAGGTGCAAAGGTTTTTGTACACCATATCCGGATTTCGACAATTAATGTCTCTTCAGTGATGTCAGGAATCGAAACGGTATTTCGAAAGCCATACAATTTACCTCAATTTAGGATAGACTCTTGAATTTTGAGGAGTCAAAATAGGATGAACGGATCATATAAACCCGAAGGCAAATATAAAACAAGCCCAAACGAAAAATTATAAACAAGTCTAAATTGAAAACAACGTTCAAACCTATGATTGCGTTGGATAAAAACCGCATTTTTTATACGTGTGCATGCAAAACAAATTTCTTGTTAGAGGGGTCAAACAAACAACATTTTCCAAAAGACCAAAAAAGTGAAAAAGTATATTTTAACAAAACGCATTTGAATACCATGTCGAACAACAAATATATATATATATATGTGTGAATGTATATATATAGCAAAACATGGACCTTGTTATTTTCATACAAAATGGAAAGAGGAGTGGATAAACCTTTTGTTAATTCTAGATTTATCTCTAATGTTATGTTAAAAATTGTTTGTATATTCTCCTGTTTTCACTTTTACTTATAGTGTTATCTATTCTTCATATAAATACATCTACATTGCTTCCATTCCGAAATGTCTTGGTTTTTTTTGTTCATCAAATGCAATGGGCATCTTGATCTGATGCAATCTTAACAGACTGTCTTTCATTCAATTTAAGACATATCCACTGCCGTAACTTATGTACTTTTCAATTAAGTCTGTTTAGTCTCTCAGCAGAATGCAGTTACTGTTATATACAATGATCATGTGCAAAACAATTAATACTGAATTGCTTGAAAGTAATCGAACAGTAATAGGTTGACTGCAATCTAAATGTCTTAAGATAACTAGATTTTGAACGCATATATCCCGTGAAACAAAATAAATAATACCACATATACAGTTAAGCCTGGTTCATATCTTGATCTGTAATTTTACCGATTGTGTCCTATTCCCCATGGTGACATTTTTATTGAATGTGGATTTGCATGAAGGGTAATGCATGAATAACATAAGGTTTACCCTGTCGACATTCCTTTTGTTTCCTCATTTTTTGTTGTATGCCCTCGCCGCTAGGCGAAGGGGGCATTAAGTGTTACCCTAGTCCGTCCTGTCCATCCGTCGCGTACGTCCCCAAAATTAGTTTCCGTTCTCCAACTTTAGTTTACCTTAACCAAATGTTAAAAAACATACACAATTCTTATTACCACAAAACACAGATCAAGTTCGAAATTGGATGGCGTCACTTTCACCTTTCATGAGTTATGCCCCTTTATGAACATTAAAATTGCTGAATTTTTCGTTTCCGTTTTCCAACTTTAGTTTGCCTCAACCAAATGTTATGAAACTTATACACAATGCTTATTACCACAAAACACAAACCAAGTTAAATATTAGGTGGCGTCACTTTAACCGTTCTTGAGTTATGCTCCTTTACAAAAACAAAAAACGAACAACATCCCTAATTACTCTTTGTTATTGAACAATGAGAGAACTTAAACCTGCAAGCAATTTCTAATGACAACATGAAGAAATACATGTCATTAACTTTAAAAGAAAAGAAAATGTCAATAACTAGTACATTGACTCATGCATATTTACAAGCTGGGCATCTGTGGCCCATAGACACATTTTCCATTTATTTCACTGTATTTGTGTTTTCTTAATCGATTTACGAGATTTTAACATCGATTAACTACTGTTGCCTTAATTAACATTTTCAAATTGACACTGAGGTCGTTGGAGAACAAAACTTTTTGATAAAAAGAGATGATTTCAGTTTCCAAATTGTGAACTCCCCATTTCTCTGTGGCAATGTATCAGTGTCTGAAAATGGAGAATATATCTCCAAGATGATACGATATTCATTCAAGAGCTTCCGTTTCCTATCATTATTTCCTTGATAGAGGTTTGCTTCTTACAAGGAAATTATTATTCAAAGGGTTCCACGTGATAAAGTTGATAAAAGATTTTCAGAACATGTAAACAGCAGTATCAGCAGGACAACCTACAAAGAGTCACATGACCAAAATCATCAGTTGACTCGTACGTTATTATGATCTACTTATTGTTGCGTTTTTGCAGAAACCGGTTGGAAACTTTCTGATTACATTGAGTTAATTTTAGTCAAAAATGTTAGCTTTGTCATACAGGCTTCTGGGAGCCTCTAGTCTTTTTTTAATTTTGAAAGTAAGTGCATGCAACTTTGTTTGTTATATTTTAGGCTCTTAACGAACCACGATTCCGTGCAATTGACAAGATTAAGACAATTGGAAGCACATACATGGGAGCAGTTGGTCTTATGCCAGAAATGAAAATTCAGGTATATTACTGAACTACTTAAAACCAATTGTTAGATAGTATCGCCACTGTTCATGTCTTAATATTTTGTCTTTAACTTCTGAGCTAACTGTACTTAACTTGGGTTAATAGGTCTTTCAGACAATGTTTATCATAACTACTGAATGGCGTTTTTCGCCCTGTAATGGTCATCAAGACGTTTTACTAGTTAAGCGGGAAATAATATACTGCACGAATTGGTTATATTTGTTGTAAAAACGACACAACAATATGTATGGGGTTATGGAAATTTAAACTTTTCGGATCGCTATCATACTATTTGATGCTTATAGCAATTATGCATTAAATACTTAAAAGAACATTTTAGGGTTAGTTTATCAGGTGAAAGAACGTTACAGTATGGTCACTTATATTGTTTTCAATAATAATGTTCCTGCATGCAGGCGACCCGGAATGTCGAACTGTTATCAGGCTTAAAAAGCGAGAAATAAGACACTAATTTTATCTATCCTAAAAAATTACAGAATATAAGTCAAGGTTATACAATATTTTAAAGAGGTTGAGAACTTTTGATAATTAAACCATTACGTAACTTTTTCATGAGTGTGCGTTTTATATTCGAAGGAGATTATCAAAATCGGACGTTGCAACATTTTCCAACTCATTAATTGCCAATTAACTATTTATTATGTTTTCTTATTGTATTTAACAATGAGTAATGGCAGAGAACTTTTTATGTGAAAATAAATGAAATTCTACCTTCAAAATAATCCTGAAAAAAATATACTTTCAATATAGAAGGGCGTCAAATATAAAGGATACTTTTACAATGAAGGAAAACGCTTCTTACATATGTTCTATGTAAAGCTTTCAGACAATAATTTTTTTAACATGAAACATTTGTTTATTTGTATCGATTGCCAATGTCATTCTTAACTCACATTGTCGTCAGTAAGTTAGCTTTATAATTTTCGTCTGAATAATCAATTAATTACTTTAAAACGGATGTAGAAAGTGATCAAAGATACCAAGTTTCTTATTTAGTAGACAAGCCGCGTATTTCGACTAATTAAGATGTCACTCTTTTCAAAAGAGTTTGAAGGTCAAATAAATAACGCTGTTATGAGCAATGAAAACCGAATTTTCCAATAGATGGTCATTAAAATCAGAAAAAAATCTATCAATGTCATTAGGTAAGAAAAAACATAGTATTTCGATGATTTTAACAATTTAGGAACAATAAAAGATATCACTTATGAAATGGTGATTTAAAAGGTGCATGATATCAATTGCAACAATATTTACCAAAACTTATAAAACATTTGTTCATTGGATCTTATGTTAATTTTGATGTATTTTTATTGAGTAAATTTATTTAACAGGTAGCCGGTTTTTTTTTGTGATATTTGTAATTACCGTTATGACAAAAGCAACTTTATTAACTTTTAATAACTGAATAACCCATATTTCAGTCAGTACTTGAATCTCGTATATCCCAGTGAACTTGAAATTAAGGATACTACTGATACAAAAATGGCCTGCTTCATACCTTGATCTTTTCCTCAATATTGACACAGATGGACGACTTCACACTAAAATCTATGACAAACGGGACGATTTCAACTTCCCAATTATCAATTTCCCATTTCTCAGCTGCTCTGTCGTATGGTGTTTACATATCTCAATTGATACGTTATGCTCGTGCATGTTCACACTATACTGACTTCATTTACAGGAGTGTGCTCCTTACGCAGAAACTGCTCCAACAGAGTTATGAGGATGAAACATTAAAAATGACACTCCGTAAATTTTATGGACACCATCACGAATTGGTTGATCTATACGATGTGTCTGTGTCTAAACTAACTAATGACATTTTTACCACGTCTTAGATTGTGGTTTAACATCTATGCCGTCTGTCTGCTAAGTGCCGAACGTGACCTATTCCCGAATATGACTGTGAATTTGCATTGGTATACAACGTGTCTCGGTATTTTGTACAATCAACATTCATGTAATTATTTTTGATGTTTCTGTTATGGTTTCGGTTGAATAATGTGTTATGTCTTATCGTTTGTTGTCCAAATAATTATAAAACTGCCCTCCAATACCATCATTGTCATATTCCCGAATATGACTGTTATACCGAGTGTGAATTTGCATTGCTATACGACGTGTCTCGGTATTTTGTACATCCAACATTCATGTATTATTTTTGATGTTTCTGTTATGGTTTCGGTTGGATAATCTGTTATGTCTTATCGTTTGTAGTCCAAATAATTATAGAATTGCCTTTCCATAACATCATTGTCATGAAAATTGTTTGGACGAGTATTGTGAAAATAATTGTATTTAGTTCGAGATTGCATGTTAGTTACGTAAGTGCGTCACTTTTTGTGATTTCCTGTGGTTTCTGTCGTTGATTGAATATGTTCGTTGTTGTTCTGCGGTTTGCATGTTGTGTCGACTATTATATTATGTGTTTGTGCTATATTTCTGTCACGTAGTGTTGTCATTTTAGCGATATTTTTTAACATTGTCATAAAGCGGGAGGATTGGCTAGCCATTAAACCATGTTCAACCCACCATTTTTTCCTAAAAATGTCCTGTACCAAGTCAGGAATATGGCAGTTATATCAAATAGTTCGTCTCTATGTATGTTGGCGTTTGTCTTTGTTGCACTTCAGTGTTCCTGTTGTTCCTTTGTTTTCCTCTTATAGTTGATGAAGAATAAGAATAAGAATAAGAATACTTATTGAATCCAATTAAAGGGCCCGTTTCCGAGCATATACATATATATATATAGTATTAATTATACAGTACTTTTTAAGATATATTACATTAAAAATAAATGATTAAATAACTATACTCCATACCAGATGGTGTTTGAAATTAAATAAAATAGAATATTAACCCTCTCTAATACATAAAAAAACTACATCACTACTACATGTATATTTAGTTAGTTACTGGAATGCAAATTTTCTCTTATTTCAAAACAAGTACTTATAAATCTTGACACTGAGATATTCACATTTTCAGACTCACATGACATTAACCAAATAAATTGTTCATACTTTGAAATATAAGGGAAGTTTTTACATTGAATGCATGCTTCATTAAGAATAAAATTCCGTTCCTTTTTATATGTAGTGCATTCCATTAATAATGAAACTCGTCTTCAATCTGCATATTTTTACACTGCCAACAAAATCTTTTATCTTTATCGATTTTTTTATATCTACCTTTCTCAATAGCTAACTGATGAGCACTGATTCTAAACTGAGTTAAGCTTTTTCGATACTGAAATTTATTAACTTGACATAAATATGCTTCCCTTTTAAAGATGTTTTTAAATTCAAAATAAGTACGCAGTTTTCCTTTTTTAACATTTGCATTATCTTCTATAGTATTTTTCAAGTAAATCCTATATCTACTAATCAAAATATTTTTAACCTTTTCAATGTCAAAACTTTCCATATCAACATCAATACATCTTAAAATATATCCAATATTAGAATACCAAGATGACTTATTACATTTGTGAGTGTCAATACTTGTGAATAGGGCTTGTTTTAACAAATGATCCTTTTCTAAACCATTAATTCTTTGTAAACATTTAAGAATAGAACAAATAATTTCAATATGCAATGGAGTACGACCTAACTCTGATGTTTCCCTCGGTTTTAGTTTGTTTCCACTCAATCGATTTATGACTTTTGAACACCGGTATACTAATGTTGCCTTTATTAAGCCAGATTAAACATATTCTAAATTTTAGAACAAAGGCACATGTAGGCTGTTATTTGCATCTCACTATGTGGAGTTATTTGTATTTTCTATTAAAAAAAACTATATGATAAATTATCTAGGCAGTTTATGTTGTTACAAGAAAGGAATTATGTTCCATAAGAATGACATTTTCCTGGGCAGTATAATTTAGAAATATATCAGATTTACCTACTTATTGGTCATCACTGTAGAATGGAGACGATGATTATGATAATAATAATAGTATATAGAAACAATGTGGACATCTGGAAAAGTTTTCGAATTCAATGTGAGAGAGAGAGGGACATGCAAACTCATTAGTCTAAATATAAACTAACAACGCCGTGGTAAAAAAGAAAAAGACCAAAATACCAACAACAGTACACAAAACACAAACTAAAGACTGAGCAACTCGAATCCCACCAATAACCGGGGTGATCTCGGAGCGGTAAGCAGATCTTGCTCCACATGTGGCACCCTTGGGTTACACAGGGGAACCTTCAGCTTTTCATTAGTGCATACGCTACCAAAAGAATCATTCATATATAGACTTTATTCAACATTACGATTTATACGAAGTACTTTGTCAGTAAAATAACTTTAATTTTCATAGAGGCTAAAAATGACAATATCCAAATTTAGTAGCATTTCGATATGTACTTCACCATAAAATCCAAGAATTCAGATTGTGCCAAATGTCGGCTACACTATGACAACCCCAATGAAAATGTTCTATAGATTCTGGCTTTTACTTGCAAAATGAACATAAATAACAGTTTACAAGGTTCATTTTAAGGAGGAGAGCGTTTGTACTAAAAAAAAAATAATGAATGATGTTCACGTAAATAAACAACAGAGAAAGCTGTACTTTACGTTCACTGAAAAATCATACATCTGATTGCAGATGACATCAATTATGTCTTGTTACGTTGTTTCGTCTTGGAATGCTTTTAACATCTGTTTGATATTATATCCTCCACTAGTTCTATGATAACCAACATACTACAGTGACATTTACATCAAGTATGATCTAATTATGAGCATAACTCATGAAACGATACATTCGTAAAAGTAAGCCATATCATACTTTTAATTGTACAAGGTAAGCAGAAATGAATATATCAGAGCATCTTTGATAGCAGCTGAACCAAGGAGAACCAGCATGGTGGCACTCTTTATTTTATGTTTTTCGTTGTATCTTCGGAAACCGTATTGTCCAAAACACATTTTAAGACTTTTTCTGTCGAATAAAACGGTATTGGGTTTCCTAAATATTGAAGGTCATATTTTGATATATATTGCTTATATTCACGTGATTTAGACTTTGATGGATAGTTGTTGCATTAGCAATCATATCACATCTCCTTATTTTTGAAATGTTCACATAAATAAATCACAGAGAAAGCTGAAAAATCATACATCTAATTGCAGATGACATCACTAAGGTCTTGTTGCGTTGTTTTATTATCACATTTTAAGACTTTCACTGTGAAAAAAAAAACATCTTGCCTCATTCCCAGTTTAGTTGGCTCTGGTTTCCGAATTTTTATTTCCCTTTGTACGTAAACAAATACGTTTAATGCATAAAAAGATGTGCTGTGAAAATTGTAGTAAACAGTATCAGTTTTGAAAATTTAGCAAAGATATAAGTCTTATCATCAAAGATACAAGGCGAACGTTTCGTCTTCACAAGACTCGTCATAAGTGCTCGAATCAAAACATTACAAAAGTCAGTACCAACTTTTTTTTATTAGCTGAAAGATATGCAGATGACCAGTCAGTTTTACTTGAATCATGTTTAGGGTGTTTTATGGTTCTAGATGTATTCAATCAAGATGGAAGTCAAATGTATAGATATATTGTGGCCATGTTCTCAGAAACGTGTAACTATGTGTCCTTTAAGTGCCAGATTTTTCAAACAGGATGTTCGTTTGTCAGAATTACATTGAGCGGTTACACTACTTTGTAAGATGTTAAAATGAACTAGCATTCGATTTCATGAGCCGTTTTCGCCTTTCATTTATAAAAAAAAAGAAAATGAAACATCCAGGTTTTGTTCATGTTAGTGTAAAATAAGTTTTGAATTACTGTATGAGACAATCAACGAATAAACATTGTTTGGATTATAATGGATGAAAGGGTAACACCTAAATATTTATCTTGTCTTGCAAGAGAATTATTTAATAGACCCGGTTTGAAATAATGTCTGATGACACTGGTTATCTACCCAAACTGGAAGTAATCTATCTAATATGACTCGTTTTCATACCAATAGCCTGAAACTGACCCTTTAACAATTAACATCTGTTTTGCTGAGCTGAGGACTTTCAGATTTTCTTTAATTTGTTGAAAACAAGCATTACTAGAACGTTTTATGATACGTAACAGTTATCTTCCTTGACAAGACAATTTTAGCCTCATTTCTGTTGGTTAAACATTCGAAATGGTTTTGGAAGCCTTCTTACCCTTCTTAGAACAATATTTTACCTTGTTTATAAAACATACATTTTTGTTAAATAAGATTGTACATTGTTGACAAAAGGAAATATTTATCGTTTTAGGCTGACAGTGAGGTATCAATGAGTAGTTACATGGAAATGCTGATAGAATTTATATTTACCATGAAGGAAAAGTTACGTGTAATTAATGAAAATTCCTACAACAGCTTTGCTCTTAAAGTCGGTACGTATAGTATATATATATAGTGTTAGGGGAAATCAAATCACTCGTGACAGTATGTTTCTAAATAAGTACAATTGGAAGGTTTTTTTTATGGAAAGTAGAATAGTCAAATTTTATACTGGAAGATTTTAATTTTATATCGCCGATAAGTGGTTATATTAATGTATCATTAATTTATTCTTCAGTCATTATCAATTAGTATAGTATTTTAACATGATGTTATTTTCTTGTTGCAATCACTTTAGAGCTTGTCATTTTTCTATAGAGAAAGCTCCTACATATTTAGAAATGGTTTCTTTGACATTTTCATATTTTTATGCATTTTGACAAGTCAACTAAAAGTATGCAAAATTTTTCTAGCAAATAAATATTTGTCAGTGTTCTAAATTTGAACTGCTTTTATAATGTTTACACAGCTGATGACTAATTTAGCCTTCAAAGACAGTTTATAGGAACATCAAGATTAAAACGATTACGAATGCATTTAGATCCATTACGTGTTATACACTGAAAGAATATGTTTAACCATGTAAAGCAATAATTGATTGATATTTGTTAGGTGCTAATATTGGTCCTGTGGTAGCGGGAGTAATAGGAGCCAGAAAACCACAGTATGATATCTGGGGAAATACAGTCAATGTTGCAAGTAGAATGGAAAGTACTGGAAAACCAGACATTATTCAGGTAAACACATCTTCACTGATAGATGCTCTTTTGCTTTTTTTGTAGAATAAATATCCTTAGAAGATGTTAAAACATGTTTGGCTTGTTTAAAGATGTATGACACAGCATATGCGGTGTTTTTGTAATCTCTACGCTTAAATGGAAGTCTTAGATAACAAAACAGTCAATCGATGTTGATATAATGCTTTAAATCTAAGGTTCAAGATCACGCAAAATTCTTTGTTGTCCCTTTTTGTTCACCTGGGCCTATCAGGCCTATGTGAGCTATTGCCATCAATTGGTGTCCGTCGTCGTCACATTAAACTGTTTTAAAAATCTGCTCCTCTGAAACTCAAAGACCAATTTCAACCAACCATGGCCGCCATGGCTTATATAGAACTTAAGGATTAAATGTATTAACGTTCTTATATTTGAAAAACTATAATAGCTACAGAAAATCTGGCAGATGACAAAAATGCCCCAAATTTCAAGGTCTACCTACTTCCTGTATACAACAAAATAATCAGATGACTCCTTAAGAAATTATTCCCCTTCAAAGAAGATTTTTGGCTATTTTTCAAGTTTTTGCCTATTTACTCAAAAACTAAACTAGATATGAAGAAACTGTTAAGGGCAAAAGTGATCAGCAATACAACATCTGAACAAATTGCTAATTGCCAAAACCATTGGATGACTTCTTAAGGAGTTATTGCCCATAAATGACGATCTTTGACTGATTTTAGTGTCTTTGTCGTTATCTCAAATACCATAACAGACAGGTAGAAACTGTAAACAACAAAAAGAATAAAAAATATAAGATCTACATCAACACCAACACCAAACAATAGAAACAATAGGACGACCCCGTAAGGAGTTTAAGTCCTAAACAACAATCGTTTTACAAAATTGCATGTCCATTTTATATTTTTAAAAAGATCTCCTCTAAGCTCCTAAGCTAATTTCAGGCAAAACTTAGGTACTGACATGATTTATAACAACCTATCTTAAATTATCCGTTATAAATGTAGAAAATATTGCGAAAGTAAGAGACCAACTTGCTCAGGCAAAGTTGACCTTAGATGGATTTAATTATTATTTCTGGGTCAACTTTGGTCATATAGCTCTTCAACTGTTTCGGTTGTTATACATCCTTGGTTTTAACATATATTCGGCTTTGAGCGTCCCTGATGAAATTAAATACAGAAAAGCGCATCGGACGCATGCAATTTATAAAAAGTAAAATAACAAAAATACCGAACTCTAAGGAAAATTCAAAACGGAAAGTCCTTTATCAAATGGCAAAATCAAAAGCTTTAACACATCAAACGAATGGAAAACAACTGTCATATTCCTGACTTGGTACAGGCATTTCCTTATGTAGAAAATGGTGGATTAAACCTGGTTTTATAGCTAGCCAAACCTCTCACTTGTATGACAGTCACATAAAATTCCATTATCTTGACAACAATATGTGAACAAAACAAACTGACATATAAAGTGTTCGTTTCATTTTTTTTTCAATTAAACTTGGGTGAATGATCCTGATCAAACGACTCGTAAATGAGTAAGTGCCGATTTTTGACAAGTTTTCCAGGTTTTGCCAATTATCCTGAAAAATAATAAAACAGAGGGAGAAACTGATGATGGCAAAACTTATCAACGATATAAGACCTTAAAAAAATATCAAAATGACCGACCAGTAGATCAATCCTTAAGGAGTAATAGTCCTTACATGACGAATTTAGACATTTTTTTTATGATTTTGCCAATTATCTTTTATAAGAACGATAACAGTTAGATAATACTGTAAACAGCAAATATGATCAGCAATTCAGGATATTGAAAAACGAAATCAGTATTACCAAAAACATTGGATAAATTCTTATAAGTAATTATTTTTTTTTATCTATTTTTTTATAATTTTGTAAGCTATCTTGAAAATTATAATAAATAAGTAGAAACTGTAAATATCAAAAATGATCAGTTATATAAGATCATCAAACATGCAGATATGGCCGAAACCATTGGATGGCTCTTTGAGGAGTAGTTGTCATGTGATGACAATTTTGACTCATTTTTGTGTTTTTTTGTAAAAAAGATTGGTACAAACTATATATGAATAAAAATATGTGATCGCAATAAAGCTAAACATTAATATCAGAATGGCATATGTTTATCAAGTGAGCTATTGGGTTCTTAGGAGCCTCTGAGAAATAGAATATTTTGAATGGCCTTTGTCGTGAGGTTACTTATTAAAGATTAATTCGGTTGTTATGTATGTCAAATATTTTTGTTTTTTGCGTGAACCCGCTGAGGGGTTCACGCTTATATATTGGCGAGTTTTGGAAGTGTCTATGGGCCACTCGATATCCTCGGAATCACGGTTCTCGGGACATCTCGAAAATTTTCCATAATTTATATGGGTAGTTATTTATGTCTTTGATACGATCCCTCTATGGATAGGCTACAACGTGACATTGTATATTTCAACAATCCGACAAACGGTTCATTTGTAGATTTGAAAGTAAAACAATAAAGACTAGGTTGCATTCTAAAAATCATTTATATGTTAGAACCTATTTGCCTTTTGACAAAACATATATGTTTTTAATAATGTGAATGTTTATTAAATATCGAGTATAATGATAACGCAATTATATAATTCATGCTTTGAGACGGTTCCTGTACGCGTTGTGTGTGTTGTATTTAATAAACATGGGAATAGTTTATTGATATACAATGACCCAGAATAAACTGATTATTTCTGAACGTTTATCATTTGGTATTTAGTATTTCAATCATAGCATGAGAAAATGTCGGAAAGAATAAAGAAAATAAAAAAAAACGATATTTCTGTTAAAAATATTTACCTAAGGTCGGAAACACAGTGGTCGGAAAGCAGAAAGATAATCAAACAAAAGGATTTTTCTGTAAAAAAATATCTTATTTCATAAATAGATACTATTCGACTAAGAGAATATTCATTGTTCAGGTAAAACTGAGACTGAATTTATTCCTAATAATTATAGAATATAATTAAAATTGTAATGTACACGTGCATTATGTCTCACAGGTTTGATCAGTCATTACATTTATGAAAATTATATGTAACGTATGAGCACCAATGAGCAGGGATGCGTACCCAAAGTTAGCTAAATATCTAAATTTTAAACGGTCGTGAATGAAAAAATACTTACGTGGTTTCAATTCACAAGGATTTTAAATTCTTGCATCTCACAAAAAACGTAATTAATATTTTACAATAATCATAACAAAATTTAATTACTATTATAATGTTAATTATTTTTTTTTTATTTTATTAGTTCAACCTTAGAGCATCTAAATATTTGTAATATGGTACGGTTTTGAAAATTGTATTCATTGTGTTGGTCAGCTATCCTACACGTCTTGGTTCATTCACATTACACACCCTGTTCACACGCACACTATCGGTTTGCGTTCACCAAAATATTCCGGATAAAATGTCAATGAATCCGGAGTCAAAACACTTGAGGTAGGTAGTTTGAAATCCGAATTCAACTATTCGATTAATATATGTGATGACGCAAATTCGTATTCTTATCCAGAGTATCAGTGCGTATGCTTTCTATTTACTATTTCTTGTGCAAAAATACCACGTTCATGCATAAATATTAATTTCACTCGCGAATGCGAATTTTCGCTTTTCTTATCTAAATTCAGGACACGGCAATAAGAGCTTGCCATGTGACTTTCAAGCACGGTCATCATTGCTCACGGTATTCTGACCTCTAGCTGTTTCTCTTTTGTTTTCTTTTTCGAGTCACTGTCCTTTTATAAACTTTGACATTTTCGAAATGCCAAGGATTTTCTACCCAAGGAATAGATTACTTAACTTCGTACTTTATTTGGCCTGTTTAGCTATTTTTATTCGAGCGTTACTAGTGATTCTTTGTAGACTTAACTCGCGTCTGGCGTACAACATGTTAATCCTGGTATTTTTTTTTATATCTACATGTCTTTCTATATAAATTGGTTCTTTTGAGAGTTTGTTCAGGTATTCATAAAACTTCTGAAAATAAGATATTCTTCAAAACCTAGTTTCCCTGTGAAATATTTGGATTGATTTAAGTAAAATCAGGAAATCCTTAAAATTTGAGATGTTTTATGAGGCCAAAATAAGTCTCTATATAAGAGGTCCAAATGAAGCTGGTGTGTTATATTCTCAAGAAAAATATACGAAACCTTCATATAAGTTGCATGCCACAGGGTTTCACTTCACATGGAAAATGGACTTTAAATTTATCTGTACAACATCTACCACGAGTACAGACAACTTCAATAACGAGTTGAGAATATGAAGGCATCCATGCAGGAAACAAAATATAAAGATGTGATAGATAGAATAAATGCATCCAGATTATAAAGCAAACTGAGTGCTTAAATTAATATTGCGATTGGTTTGTGCAATTTGCATTTTACATCCGGTTTGTAGAAACTGGGATTTGCAATAGGATTATAAAAAAATGATGTACAATCCCAAGTAATAACTGAAATAGTCGAGCTTAAAAATGTATATTCAAAGAGTAGCTGTATATACACTTTTCTATTCACACCTATCCGACATTGCTTTCAACTGACTTGTGCAAGAATGTACACACTATTACATATTTTTAATAAAGGTAGTTGAACTTCATCATTATCTCCTTCTATTCACAGTCAATTATTTCAATTCAAAAGCAAACAAAAATTCTGCAACAATCTTTTGGTGACTAGTCAGCGGTCTTAAGTTCTCGTATTGCTTTTCTTTTTTTAAAGAAAGCAACTTGTTTTTAATTTCCCGGTGTTTTATGTGTTATGATATGTTAATGAATCTTTTGAGTTGATATAACATTGAGATTCTAAACAGAAATTGTCAAAATAATCAAATCTTTCATCATGAAATGTATTCTTTGAATCATGTCCCTAAAGAACTTTAAAACTAAATATGTGTTTTATCCTTATTTCAGGTGACGGAAGAAGTTTATAATCTCTTGAAATTAAAGTACGTGTTTCAGTGTCGAGGGAAAATAAAAGTGAAAGGAAAAGGTGAAATGTTAACATATTTCTTACTTGGACGAAAAACTGGAAATGTCGTTCAAAGTCCATCATCAGCTGGTTCATTTAACAGCTCCCTTACTCTGCCTAGCTCTCCGGGATCACCAGCCAGTTCATCAACCTATAATAGACCTTTACCTGAATTGCCAGGCCAGCCAAGGCCACCATCTGCTGAGTCATCACAAAGTCACCATCAACAGTCTGGAACTAACAGAAGCAGGGACGGGGTAACTAGAAATCCTAGTGCAGTTAGCTTGTCGTCGCAAGACAGCACAACTGCAAAAGATTTTGGTCGAAATGACTCATTCAGGTCTAATTCAAGATTACCACCTTGCTATGCTGCACTTGTAAGTGAAAGACAATCTACTATTGATAGTACGAAAGGTTTACCAACACCACCTGGAAGTTTGAATCGGAAAAGAAGAAATAGTACTGATAGTCCACGAGCTATTACACGAAAAACTAGTAGTAATGCTCTTTCACATTGCATATCTGGGCATATTTCAGAAGCTGAATCAACATATACACGAATGGACTCTCCTGAACTGCCTGCTGTTCATTTTATGAATGTCAAGTCGCCTACTAGCCCACCTGTACAAAACTCAATGTTTCAAAATTTGCAGAAATCGGACTCGAACACTGGTATTACTCGAGAAGATAATTATTCTGAGGTGCCAGGTTATGAAATGCCTTACTTTCAGCAAAAAACAAAATCTACTGAGAACGAACGCGAAGTTGCCAAAATAGAACAGTTACAAACGGCAAAGCCTCGGTCGTTAAACAAACAGTCTAAAATCCCACAACGAGTTGGTGTGTCAAGCCCTCCTCGTCCAAATAAACCACCTCCGGAAAAGTTTTCGTCACATGAAGAAAGTCGAAATGACAGTATGTCTTTGGCCAGACAATCACAAAATACGCCGCAATATGCCCAGATTCAACCTATTCGAAAAGCTAAGTTTGAAGTAGCGAAGCCGTTTGTGAGTTGTCCACCAATGACAAAACCTTGTCAAGTTGTTAATCCAACAGTTCCTATAATTCGACCAACACCATTAGTCTTAACGGGCGCCGCGCCACCATTACATCATAAAATTAGAGCTGCGCCATACCAAAGACCACAAGGAGACTATGACTCTGCAGTACATGCCATAACTGTTGATGCAGGAAATCAAACAGAAACATCAGACATTTCACCAGAAAGAAAAGTGAAAATGAATGACATACTAAAAGAATTGGGAAACGTAATCAGGCCAGATGAACCAAATCGTCCAAAATTAACTCGACAAAAACAAAAAAAAGAACGACCAATCTCTGGAAGTGAGGATGTGTTTGTGACTGCAACATATAGAGAACCAATAACCGCCAATGTAGCAAAAACACCATCACCGTTGACTAGTCCGCACATGTCTCCTTCAAGCACCAACCAGCAATTGAGCAAACATTTCGTAGAGCAAATATCTAATCCGTCATCACCTGTTAAACATCATACAAATGAACGTCGGGTTTCTGAGAGTTCACGGGGAAGCAGTTGTTCATCCAGATCAACTCTAACTCCTACATCTGCCTTAGTCGTAAGCATTGATGGAAGATCTATGTGTATAATGCCAAGTTCAAATTCGCCGGAACAAGAACAACCACCACCTTTACCACTTCGGAGGGTACCGTCGGATATAACAAAAGAACGCACTGTTGAAGTCAAACCGTACAGCGAAGTTCGCAGGAGCAATTCAAGTCCAAGATTACGTCCAGTCCCTTTTACGTCGCCAAAAAAGCAGCGGAAAGACATACTTGCTGCACTTCCCCATTCAGATGATGACAAGGAATCTACCAGCTCAAAACCCATGAGTGATCAGTCTTCTGTACTATTGCTACAACCGATTGAACTAAAACTCGCTCGACCAGCATTAGTAAAGCAATTATCTAGTCCGGATGAAAATAATGAACTGTATACAAGAGCGTTTTTAGCAGATTTCACACCATCGCATCTTAATCGAAACTTGTCAAGATCAAGTGATGTTTTGTACGGAATCCCGAAGTGCCCCGCAACTCCGAAATTCCCAGTGCTTACAACTGCAGCTTCGTCATCACTTACTGAACTACTTCAAGAACTGGCAAGTGAACATCCTAATGCGAAACTTGAATCTTATCTTAGCCAGCAGTATCCTGAACGCCCAAGAAAGAACATTCATGAAAATCGACATGGTGATCGAAATACAAGGAAAAGTTTTCCCCATGGGAAACCACCGGTATGTAATGAAACGGTTAAACAGCGAATAGCCACACGCAACCAAGCAATTGCAAAACGGAAACAGGAACCTTGTCCGAAAGATGTTTCATCACCTGAACATAGCGACGGCAGCGAGTTTGGAAAATCACCACCACAGCCAAATCCTTTTCAAGTAAAAAGAAGAGGAAACTTTACAATGCCACCTCGTTATTGTAGAAGCTTAGATTATATTCCAAGTGATAGGGAAGAAGGGGTTTCGTCAGCTACGTCGTCTACTTATGGAAGTCCTAAAATGAGTCGTGCATATGCGGAGGTTCTTCCACTATTTTCGAAGAAAATCGAACAGTACCTTGCCGGTAGAAATGCTCTCGGAATTGATAGTCTGAGTATTTCTTCAATAGCTAGCAGTAGTGAAATGTCTAGAAGTGACCCAAACATTAATATGGATTCGGGGTCAGCCGCATATGAATCTGAATATGACAATTACCGACCAGGTATGGCAAGTGATGAAGATGTTTTATATGTCCCTGATCCAATTAGTGACACTGAAATCGATTATTTCGACGATATTAACATTGATAATATAACTGTGAGCGATTCGTTTAGTTTAGACATGCCTCTTGCAAAACTGACTAAAAAAATTACGGATGTGTAGATGCGTATAAACGTTTAAAAAAATATTTTTTTTGAAGTGTAAAGACGAGTATTAAGTGTTGATTGTGTGTATTATTTAGATGTTAAAACTTGATTGTTGGGAAGATTATATATTCAAAAATCATTACACAATTATGACAATGAAGTGTCCACTAACTGTAGTTTTGTACGAAAAAAACATGAATGTCGCTGCAATGAAACTATTAAAAATAAGAACATTGAAAATAATACGATGTTTTTATAGAATGTAATACTATTTTTATAGCATTTGATGTAGTTACTTTTAAGGTGCTATGTGTTTGGATTGTTTTTAAATTGTTAAATTAAAGCGCTATATCTTTTTTTATTTGATGACAGACATATTAATTTTTGTTATTTATTTTCTTCTCATTACAATTACTATCTGACAATATGATGATAATTACTTTTAATACAAGAAACTGTAAACATCAAGTATGCACATGTTATTTTTTACAAAAGCATCTACATTTTAGTGATATTATTTTGCTATAACTTTTTGCTATAAATCAAGGTGCATAATCAAGTAATATTTATGTTTTCAAAATGACTATTTATTTATATAAGCAATACAATATGTGTTCAATAACAATTGTGCATTTGTCTTTTCAAAAAGCCAGTATCGTTTCTTTCTATTTTATGTAAAACTTTCTTCTCTTGACATCAGTTTTTGATTTGGGGTTAAATTTGAAAGAATTTTTTTGATCTAAAATGCCTTCTTACTTTGACATGCTATTGATAATTTAAGGATATGCAGGTATGAGCAAAGTGTATTCTCCCTTCAATTTTTACATTAAGTGTGTCATATTTAAATACTCTTTGAATTGCACGAGTATTTCTTTGTATAAATTCCTCTGTTACCTTATGATGTTAGATATTATGACTGCATAGCCTCTTAATAGATTAGCTAATGTGTTTACCTTATACGGCAATTTTATTTTTTCTGTCTTTAGTAAATTTAACTGATCTAATAGAAAACTATCTGCATCTGTACACAATTGTTAAAAAAAGTCCTCATTGAGGAAATTATCCTCACATTATTGTTATAATGTAGCTTTCTCATTATTGGAGCAACAGTTAGAAAGAAGGATATTTATGTTAAGTAGCATCAGTTGTTACATGTGAGGTATTTTCATCACTTTTTGAATTCTGATCAGATGAAAAAACATGCAGTCAGATTCAGACTTTGATTCTGATTGGTCAATGTTCATAAATCTTCTCCTTGAATTTATTGAAACATAAGGAGTGAGAAACAAGGGTTTATTTCCCATAAGCGCGTTCCTTACCAAAATAAAGGTGAATAAACTCTGAATTAAACAAACGATACTGTCTCTTCTGCCCTTAACACATTATTTCATATTAATTAGTCTTATAAAAATGAAATACTCAATATTTCTCATACTAAAGAATAAAATCACAAGCGAAATAATGTCCCGACTGAACCGACTGATATTGCATACATATAATGCTTTTTAATAATAATATAAAAATAAGGAGATGTGGTATGATTACCAATGAAACAACTATCCACCAAAGTTCAAATAAAATGGATCTAAGTAATTATAGGCAACCGTACAGCCTTCAACAATGAGAAAACCCATACCGTATAGTCGGCTATAAAGGGCCCCGACATGAAAAATGTGAAACAATTCAAACGAGAAAAACTAACGGCCTAATTCATAACTAAATAATTTACGAAAAAAAATAATAAAACAGACATAAACCAACAACAACCACTGGACTGCAGGCTCCTGACTTGGAACAAGCACGTAAAGAATGAGTCTATTCTGATAATTCAATTTGAAACATGTACCATCGCCTATTATAAATACATTATAACTCTGATACTTTCAATAAGTATAAATTGTGTAAAAGTTAATTCGATTGTGTTTTTATCTATTGAAAGTTTTTTTTCAACTTCTGAAGGATATCCATTATGTATGGGATCTAGCAAAAAAAGTAGAATTGTTTATGTATTGGAGCACTCAGGTAAATTGTAAATAGAATACTGTCCAATTGATTATTTCAACTTTATTTTGGCATTGCTCAAGGTTATGCGTTTCTCACGATCAGACTGTTCATGATGTCTTCACACTAAATACGTTGGATGTTTACTGATTGATACTTTAGTCTGGGAGAACTTATTTATTAGTTGTAATTGGCTTTGAACTAGCTTTCAGTAACTGCGAGTATTTTTATGACGGTGCTTTTTGTCTATTGTTTTTGTGACTCGTACCGATCTTTTGAGTTACGCCAATTGCAACTGATTTTTACTGTTTTTTTCTTGTGTTGTGTTGTTACACCACTGTCCCCGATTTGGGGAAGCTTGTGTGCTCACAAAAATGTTAAGCCCAGTCAGAATCTTTATGTGCCTGTAGATCAATGTTTGTCGTTGGATCATGTCTGTCGTATTTGTTATGCGTAAATTGTTTTGTTATAAATTAGGCTGATAGTTTTCTCGTTTGAATTGAATTTATTTGATGTCAAAAAGTCGTGATGTGCAATTTTATAAAGAACTGAGTAGAGAGATACAAGCATAGGTTAGACCGACGTACAACTTGTTTTAAATTCAATTCAGTTATTAAAGTCTCTATATATTAAATCATTGCATTTCTTTATTAATCAGTGGTTATAATGAGGCCATGCTTGAATTAAATCATACAATTTCTGTCCGGGACAAGCTGTTTGTCCGACATCTCTGTGACCTTTCAGGATATAGCTGGCTGTGATTTTACCTTTGTTGACTCCGCAATGTATAAGACTCTTTATTGCATTAAGAGCAGCGTCATTTGGAACATGGTCTTGAAAGTTACCAATGACACAGATACCTGTAGTGAAAATGTAGTCGTAATTTATTTCAAATATGTCATTGCGCCATGCAGTTCCTTGCAAGTCAAATTAAAATTAACACACCGTACTTTGTATATTGTGTTTTATAGTTGTTTCATTCAAAAGGGTAATATTGTGAATGCATCCCAGACCAAGAAGTCTATTTTTGTAGAGGGTTCCAAAGGGGTTAATTGTCATAGAGATGGAAATCTAAATGGCTGTAAACAACACAACTTTATTATCAATTGTACTTGAATATTAACTGTTGTTCAATCAGTGATATTTAGAAAAAAGTATGACACAGGTTCATGAAAACAAGTCAAATTGATATTGAGATTTAGATTGAATGAAACAATTATAAAACACCATATATAAGTTAACTGCAGTAAAATCCAAATATCCAATATAGAAAAAGTACGTGACACGCACTCAGTCCTACTGGTATTTTGGGTCGATACTAAATTTGATAATACTGAAAAAAAATATCATGTTTAACCTATTTAGGAGCACCACTCGGGATTATTTTGGAAGGGAGTTTCCTATATATACGAAGCTGCCTTTAAAAAGGGGAGTCCGGGGATGTCAAAATCTGCAAAATATTGAACCATCAAGAGAAAACTGCTTTTCTATGGAATTGTATGAAGCACTGGATCGTGTTTTAAGTTAGGTCAAAAGGCAGAAGAAAACAGATGTCAACTGTTTAAGGGAGGGCTGTCAATGAATCTGGAAAGTCCAAGAGTTGTAATGTCAAAGTAAAAAGATGTACAATGAAGAGGTGTTATTTAGAAATTAATATGTCGCTTCTACCTACAATAACAGAGCGCTAAATATCCATATCTTTACCAAAAATGTTTCCCTTTTTCTATGAAATTTCATAATTCTATAATAGTGGCAGTCATATTTGAGTAAAATCCAAATTAAGATAGGTCTGACTTCACAGATGAATCATTTTTCTACAATCATACTTTTGGTCCATAGTACGTTTTTTTATATTGATTTTGTGAAGGTTTTAGCCTTATGCTCTACTATTCGTAATAAAGGTCATGTTGACTGCTCTGATTATATATTTTTGTACATCGGAAGATGTATATATATATTTTTTAAGTACGATTAAAACTTCTCGTACTAAATATATGGAATATACCGATTACTTTATTTATCAAATACATTTACCTAGGCCATCATGGTTATGATTTAAAGTGTGAGCTCCTACAGCATCCCATCCCCTGGCTTCATAAACATTACCATCTTCCCCAACCACAAAACTGTAACCAATATCACTCCAGTCTGTTAAAAAATATATCTTAAACATTTTTATCTTTTGTCATAAAAACCTAAAATATCCAATGTTATCCCAATCCTACTATTGAAGACATGCAAAGAGACGGGGGTCTTGAAACATTATGATCAGCTATAACAAAACTTCTTGGATTATTATCCCAGCGTATAAAACACATTGTTATCTTAAAGCACGACAAAAACTATCCAATACAAGTAAAGAAGAAATGTTGATTGATTGATCCCGGGAAAAATATTACTCGATGTTCAAAATGACAGCTTTTTGATGGTATATAAATATAACCCTGCACGGTATTATATATACATATATACCCTAATACGATATATATGGGGTCAGTAAATTCCATATGGGGTGAGAGCGAAAAACGATATGATGGCTTTAGACAAGTGCATGGCCTATCCCAAGTGATCAAGTCTTCAATATTAAGAACTTTCTTCCATTGGTCTATACAAAAACAAATGCCAACTATAACAACTTGTTAGCTTTTAATGTGTTTTCTGCATTTATTTCAATCGTTCATCATCAATTTCTTCGTCTGTTGAAACCTTTCAGATTTTTCCTCAACACCATGATGTTTTTACAAAGGGACGTAACACCACTACTAACCGTGTATTGAAATAAGCCCCGCCTACTAACCCCATATAAAATATACACGGTCTCCACGCGATTGCTTTTAAATCCTAGAAATGTATAGGAGGTAAGATAAAGGTATTTCAAATCCCATCTTTTATGGTAATATTATAGGTTTACAAAGCACAAACATGTCGTCATTCACCTCTTAAACTAACCAAACCTTTAAACAGACTTATTCAGAAGAGATACTGTTGTCAGGTCATTAAGGATGGCATTTTTTGGAATTAATATTGATTCACTCATAGGGTCTTTGCATCGGAAATAAACATATGTATTCTAAAACCAGTTGTTGGCATGGTACGGGTTATGTTCTTCTCGTATATTTTATGATGGTATGATACTAAACCCCTAACGGGAGGGATTGTTCTTAATTTTCATATGATGAAGACATACTCTTTCAATCAGTTTAATGGAGGTCTGGAGCTGGCATGTCAGTAGCTGCTAGTAGGCCTTTGTTAATTTATGTTGATCATTGTCATTTTGCTAAGTTTCTTCTGTTACCTATTCTAACATCGGACTTCTTTTAAACTGAGTTTTACTGTGCGTATTGCTGTTTATTTGTTTATTCTACATTGGCTAGAGGTATAGGAGGAGGGTTGAGATCTCACAAAACATGTTTAACCCCGCCGCATTTTTGCGCCTGTCCCAAGTCAGGAACCTCTGGCCTTTGTTAGTCTTGTATGTTTTTTTCTTAATTTTGGTTCATTCATATGTTTCGGAGTTTAGTGTTACGTCCATTTTCTCTGAACTAGTATACATTTTTGTTTAGGGGCCAGCTAAAGCCTGCCTCCAGGTGCGGGATTTTCTCGCTGTGCTGAAGACCCATTGGTGACCTTGAGCTGTTTTCTGCTCTTTGGTCGAGTTGTTGTCTCTTTGACACATTCCCCGTTTCCATTCTCAACTTTATAGACCGTTATATGCTGATCAAGATTGTTAACGTTCAAGATTATCCTGACTACGAGCCAAATATTCGTTACTCTTTCTCCAAACTTCTACATGTTTGATGGAAAGGCGACAAATGCGAACTTTAGAAGACTTTGGTTAACCATGTCGGTGATTGGACTCACGACCTTTTGCGCTCGAAGCGAACACGCTACCACTAGAAATCGAGGCTGTTAATGAAAAAAGAGCAAATATCATAACATTAAAATTCTCTTCCAGGGGAATCTTTCTGAAATCTATTTAGAATACAAGTTTAAACGTTGTGATTGTATTTACCTAGATGACGGCTTACTTGGTAAGATGCCACGGATTGCAAGATGATAATAATACAGTAATAGATTGATGTTATTTCAACCAATGCAAGTAAAGCAAAAAGGAAGGGCTACTAGTATTTATTTAACTGGACAATGGTATTCTCGCCAATGTGCAGGACAGAAGTTCTTAATTATATTAGGCCCAAGACCACAATTAATGATCCCGCTTTTCGTTGTCCACGAATATAGTTCCTTTTAATTAGAGTGTATTTTTTCTTAATTTTTTTTCTTTCCCTTCCTCACTCATTTCTTAGTTTTTTTTGGGTGGAAATAAAAGAAGAGAGGTGAAATAATCTTTTGGATGTTGTATTTTAACTGATTTTGATATGGAAAGAGTGATTAGGCTAGGTGCAAAAAGGTGATATTTACAGTTTTCGGAACATCTCTTGACTTGTCCATAGGGGTATGGATGTGTATTGGCTAAATTTGTAAGAGTCATTGGTTCAATCTTTCTGAATTTTGGATATATTTTTGGACTAGTACTATACATTATACACACAAAAGATTTGACAAAAATGCAAGGTGCAATTTTTTTAATGAAACAAAACGTTATAAAGAACTAATAGGGGAATTTAATTGTGGTCTGTGGCCTAAGAGGTGAATTCAGGAAATATTGAATTTGTACTTTGACAACTTCCCTGAATGATCTATTGGTATTAATTTGTCAAACTACATGAGAATAAATGATTTCCACTTTTATTTGATAGAAATTTTGTAAAAAAGTGACATTTCAGCCTACATGCCCAAAATTGAACTTTTTCAGTTGTTTCAATATTTTTACAAAAGTAGCATGCTTACTTTCTCTCTGACAGATTTTTCTGGTTTTCTATTTGTGTTTGTGGTATCTAATGTAGATGTTTAACTCATTTTTGAACACTGAACACAAAAAAAAGTAGATAAAAATCAGAATAAGAGTGCAAAATGTGCTGCTTTAATGGTCTTAGTCTAACCGTCAGTATGAAGCAAGTGAAAAATGAGGTTCTATGCACATACAAGTTGAATTCCTTTTAGCAGATTTCACTGAATCTGTATCAAAAGCACTTATTACTGGTTGTTTGACCTTGTCTGTTTCACAGGCTTCCTTTATTTTCTTTTGTTTGATAGCTAGTGGTTAAAATATTGGCCTTTTGAGGCTGAAATTTCATGCCGGTTTTAAAAAGTAAAGTAAATAACTTTGCATCAAATCATACTGTCTACATATATAGTTGAAAGTGACAGTCATGTTACATCCAGGCTCCATGTTTTATCATATCTAAACAAAGATTTAAGCAAAAAGAAGCATATCTCTATCTACCATATCATTTATTTGCTTTTTAATATGCAAATGTGGGGAACGACCTAAATTGACAACCTGTTTTTTTAAGCTTGACATTGCTGAAGACCATTTTATTCACATGTGTTATGCTATTTGAAACTTATATTTCCATTAAAAGTACATTTATAACATGTAAAAGGTGTTTTTATAACTTAACAACTTCAGAAAATTGTGGTAAGTGAAAAATATTACATTTCATATAAGGCCTCGATTCATTTGAAAACGTCTATTTTTTGGCACAGGCTCATATAAAATTTACTTCTGGCCATTTTTTATAAGTCTGAAACATGAAGTATGCTATCTGTTGCTTTTAATAGGTGATAACTTATACATAGAAACATTAAAAAATGTAAGTTTTGGTATATTTTGGTTTTTAGAAGCCCAAATTTGATAGTTGAAATTGTTCTAATTCAACGCCACAATTCAGCACCCAAAGTTCAGATATAAAAAATGCCACATTTTTTATAATTGGTATCATATGGCTTTGAAACTTTGTAAACTGTTTTATAATACACTAAGCTTAAATCATGCCAAGTTTTATTAGAATTGGTCAAGTTTTAGATCCCTAATAGGTGAATTCAGGAAATATTGAATTTGTACTTTGACAACTTCCCTGAATGATCTATTGGTATTAATTTGTCAAACTACATGAGAATAAATGATTTCCACTTTTATTTGATAGAAATTTTGTAAAAAAGTGACATTTCAGCCTACATGCCCAAAATTGAACTTTTTCAGTTGTTTCAATATTTTTACAAAAGTAGCATGCTTACTTTCTCTCTGACAGATTTTTCTGGTTTTCTATTTGTGTTTGTGGTATCTAATGTAGATGTTTAACTCATTTTTGAACACTGAACACAAAAAAAAGTAGATAAAAATCAGAATAAGAGTGCAAAATGTGCTGCTTTAATGGTCTTAGTCTAACCGTCAGTATGAAGCAAGTGAAAAATGAGGTTCTATGCACATACAAGTTGAATTCCTTTTAGCAGATTTCACTGAATCTGTATCAAAAGCACTTATTACTGGTTGTTTGACCTTGTCTGTTTCACAGGCTTCCTTTATTTTCTTTTGTTTGATAGCTAGTGGTTAAAATATTGGCCTTTTGAGGCTGAAATTTCATGCCGGTTTTAAAAAGTAAAGTAAATAACTTTGCATCAAATCATACTGTCTACATATATAGTTGAAAGTGACAGTCATGTTACATCCAGGCTCCATGTTTTATCATATCTAAACAAAGATTTGAGCAAAAAGAAGCATATCTCTATCTACCATATCATTTATTTGCTTTTTAATATGCAAATGTGGGGAACGACCTAAATTGACAACCTGTTTTTTTAAGCTTGACATTGCTGAAGACCATTTTATTCACATATGTTATGCTATTTGAAACTTATATTTCCATTAAAAGTACATTTATAACATGTAAAAGGTGTTTTTATAACTTAACAACTTCAGAAAATTGTGGTAAGTGAAAAATATTACATTTCATATAAGGCCTCGATTCATTTGAAAACGTCTATTTTTTGGCACAGGCTCATATAAAATTTACTTCTGGCCATTTTTTATAAGTCTGAAACATGAAGTATGCTATCTGTTGCTTTTAATAGGTGATAACTTATACATAGAAACATTAAAAAATGTAAGTTTTGGTATATTTTGGTTTTTAGAAGCCCAAATTTGATAGTTGAAATTGTTCTAATTCAACGCCACAATTCAGCACCCAAAGTTCAGATATAAAAAATGCCACATTTTTTATAATTGGTATCATATGGCTTTGAAACTT